CCTTCTCCCCAGCTCCTCCGGCCGGGGGAATCCCAAGGGGTTCCCCCGGCCAGGTCCGGTGTTGTGCCGGTAAGATGTCCGCTCCGACAGCTTCTGGCGTTTTTAAAAAGTATCCCAGGGGCACGGTAAGGGTCGGAGTTGTTTAGTCTATTTAATTTCTGACTATATAAAACGATTTCTTCTGTTTTAAAGTGTGAAGTAAACTCCGACGAAGTAAAATCCAAGCGGATCCCGTTCATGTTCATGGTTACATCCGTGTTTGTTTACCTTTTTTGCATGCCAAAATGGCGTCCACTAACTGAGAGTCACGTGGGGTCCGGAGCTCTATATCATCAACCGATATTTTTTCCATCTTGTCATTAGTTGTTTGCCTGTTTCAGAGGGTGAGGTGGTGATGTACATTTGTGTAGTCATGTCACAGTGATTGTAAAGAGTAAATGTGTGTGGTGTGTGTACAAAATAACGTAAATTCAGCTTTAATAATTTTTATTCTATACAAAATCTGCTGATTTTAGAAGCATTAATGTCAGTATATGGATATCGGCCATAACAGTGATCTTAATATTGGATATCGGTATCGGCCCATATATTTCATATTGGTGCATCTTAGAATACAGTTACTTTTGTAACACCATTGGAATATTTCTCTTCCCCTGGCAAGCCGTCCGATTTATGTGAATAAATAGTGTGGCAACTGCCATTCCAACTCAATGAGATAAGCAGAATATAAACTACAAGCATCCAGCATGAGCAAGGACACCAACTTCAGAGTTTCTGTTACCAACACTGTCAAACAGCCGAACGGCACCGCAGTCCCATTCCTCGGCATGGAACCCCTTCTCATGGCACAAAACATCATGAACAAAAATAGCACAATCAGAACACTCAACAAAGGAGTAACAACCTCCACACAACTCTGGCAATAAAACCTTAAACCATACCAAAATAGAACAAAATAACTGAAAACCTGTTGCCCACAATGCACCTGCCTGTACCGCAGTGGGCGGGGTCACTACAATAGTCTGGCCATTGTCAATTGACGGCTCAGCCGTGGGTTGGGATCTTGGTTCAAACAGCCTCCCCATGCTATTGGATAACAAACATGACATTTTTGCTGATTTTTGAATTAAAGGTGACAACGATAATAGAAGTTAACGAAAATCCCATCACAAAATGGAAAAGATAGGCGAACGGAAAAAAGAACCAATCAGCATTTGGGAGAGGCGGGACTAGACGAGAAAAGAAACAATCATAGTCCGGAGCCGGACGCTGTTTGAACAGGCTAGCAGTAACCATATGCCGGTAACAGTTGAATAAATTTTGTCTAAAACGAGAACATGTCCACAGCTGGGAGGACGAGCATTAAATGTGACCATCTGAGTACACATCTGAGGTTTCTCCTGGTTTTAAGAGTTACGGTGGTAGCAGGGGAAGAAAGGGGGTGGAATATTGGACCCGAACCGAACGTACGGAGTGACTCATCTGACTGTTTTTTTGTTTTCGTCCTGCTGCTATAGCCGTAATATAATCAGCGTTCGGTGTTCTAGCTGTGTTTTTGTGAGGAAAAACATTCAGGTACCCAATAAAAGTGTTCAGGCACCTCACTTTGCTAAATTAGTTAATTTATAATATAATATAATAAATAATAAATAAATACACCTGAAAACAGTTGTTACCTTTAGTGAAATTTTGCACACTTTTTTTTTTTTTACAGCGAATTGTACTCTGTGTCTAGCCTAGTGAACTAGATTTGGTCTAGCAGCATTCAGGTGGGCCAATCAAAGCTCTCTATAGGGAGCCATATGGGCCATTCCCATCAGTACCGGGTCGGCCCGGGCCGGGTAGCGTAGGTTGTTTACATATCTGGGTGGCCTGGTATTTTTCCGGGCCAACCAAGGCTCATTCTCAGCCCTCTTCTCGAGGGGGTCTGCTTCAGGCCGACCAGGGCCAACACACCCACTGCTGACAGCAAATTCACACCTTCCATTAGAGCAAGCCTCTGATTGGTGGGTAAAATCAGCCCACATGGGCTTAAGACAAGGATGTGTGGAATCAACCGGGCCAGGCTGGGACCGACTGGGGCTACCCGGCCCGGGCCGACCCGGTACAGATGGGAATGGCCCATAAGTCATTTCCGCACCGTGGGTCCCTGGAAGAACGAAAAAATGAATGCAAGTCAACGGGGCAAAACGTTATTTTCTAATCCACTTTGCCTTACGCCCTGGATTGCACATATACTATAGTGCAATTTAAATGAGAAGTAATGATGGGTGTGTCGACCATGTCAGTCACGTACTTTGAGATTTCTAGCTTGTAAAAGTTTGTTAATGACTACAAACTAGAAAACTGCACGTGTGACCTAACCACATAATCTCCTCTCACCTAACGCAGCTGCTACTTACCAAATGACCAGATTCATGGTGGTTCTTTCCTCCTGTGGGAAGTTTGCTGAACTTACAGCCCTTTTCCCTCAGTTTTCTCCGTGTCTGGTTTGATGACGTCACTTTCGTGAAGCGCATTTGTAGTCCTGGACTTATTTTCACACAAAACCTAAAATAACGTTTCCCCCTGTTCGAAAATAAGCGCGTTCTTGTTATCAAATACGTCTTTAAAATTCATGGACATCATATTTGAAATCCATGGCACAAAACAAGCAGAATTAGAAAATAGCATTTTTAGCCCCTTTGACTTGCATTCATTTTTTTCGTTCTTCCGGGGACCCATGATGCGGAAGTGACTTAGGCTCCCTTTAAGGGTTTCAAACTGATAAGCCCTTTTTACAAGACACACCATGCTGACAAATCGGCGAAATATTACCACAATGGTATGTCTTATAAACGCGCCATGCCGGCATGGCGTTGCGCGAATTTTGTGGCATTCGTTCCACCTCGCTTGGTAGTAATATTGTGGTAACGGTCTGTCGTATGCGCCCTGGCACAACAGAGACAGATGTCATGATGACGTGGGGAGTTATTGCTGAGCTCCGGCTGACAAATTTATTGAAAGTGAAAGTAAACACAGGCAATGAGGTTTGCTTTTTGAACAAAATCAGCTGAGATGGCAAACTGGAGCGCCGCAGAGCTCCATGAGCCTCTCTGTTAGAGCTGAAGCTCAGATCACCAGAGACTGCACAGGGACTGATGGGAACAGACATCTTTAGGAGCTGCTTGTTAAAAAAAACTTACCGATCACGGCTTCATTTGCAATAAAAAGCAAATTATGCCCAAGATAAACAGAAGTCTGCGGCAGCGCAGAGACCACCCCATACCCCCTTTATGCCGCCATCACCTAATCTTTTATAAAATTGCCACGATTGCGCCACATTACCGCCATGGTCTGATCTTATAAACAACCTAAGGGTCCCTGATGCCGCCACGGCATTGCAGCAAATTGACGGCATTGTTTTGTCAAAAGGGCTATAGAGCGTGATTGGTCCACAAGGGTGGGCCAGTCACAGCACTCCATCTGCTTTGTGGGCCAATCAGGGTCCGCTATTCATCTCGTGGGCCGTGGGTGGGATGATGGGACGGAGTGGAGCAAAATGGCAAAAACTCGTTTGAAACGGCTTTTACATCAATTTTGGACTATTTGGACTTGGGCTTTATTAGAATCTGGAGCAGATAGTTGTATTTAAGCCCTTACTTACAGCGGCCTTTCTTGTTTACCGCAGTGTGTACGTCATGTTGTTCATTGTCCAGTAGGACGCGGAGATCATTTGAAAGACAACGGTAAAACCCACCCCATGACCGAGACTAAATAATATATTTCTTTAGTCTGGCTACGCTGCGTCATGATTAGGGCACTGACAGTGTTTAAAAGAGAGAAAAGTGTGAAAATGTTAATGACTGACTGAGAAATGTGTACAATGTGTAGTTATTGTAAAAAACAAAGCTGGCTAGTGTAAAAAATAAAGCTGGCTACTTTGAAGCTTTGAAGATATCGCCTTTTGTTGGTTATTTATAGAATGTCATCCCCGCAATAAACGAGAACCATAAATAATTAAATTGTTTTATTTATTTCTTCTCAGTCAGTACAGCCCTGTTTTCCTGCGGGAGTAGCAACACATGTTGTTTTTAAGGAGAAGTATCGTTTCAGAGACCGCTGCAAATGTATTGATTAAACGAGTGTTCCACACCTTTAAATTGGTGATGTGCATTTATTCATGTAATGCAATTCTAGCTCTAGCCTGTGCGTGAATAAGACATGGTGATTTGTCTTATAAACGTGTGTAATTACAGTAATAGAAGATATCAATTAACTTAAAAGGGGCGGAAAGGCCATTGTGTTCACATCATGCGCTCTTTCTACGGCTGGATTGGAGGCGCGTGCGTCTGCGGTGGGAGCGCGCAGAGGAAGGGAGGGCAAATAATGTCCGGACGCTAATAAGACCCAATGAAAGGAGTAAGGTGGACATGAGCTGTGAAACGCGACAGAAGGAAGAGAAGGAGGACGGAGAGGGAGGTGAAAAAGAAAAGGTTTCCACAGAGATTAATCTGGAAGGACAAGAAGGGAGCGCACTGTTCATAGAAGCTCACCAGAGACGGAGAGTCGTGGGACTTCAGGTGTGTGTCAGTTCCCCTCGTTTGCGTAGAGAGGCGGTCAGTGAGCAGAGACGATCAAAACCACCTGCGCGAGTACAGGTACCCGTGAAGGACATAAGATGACTTTTAGCTCATGCCAGCTGCTGAAACCTCTGCTCAGAAACTCCTAAAGAACTTTCCCCCCTTTCACTCTTTGATGCCAAACCTCAGAAATAATTCAGCTACTCTTTTTTTCTTGGGCTTTTGTTTTTGTTCATTTCAATCATATAGACAAAATTTACAGATTTAGTATTTTTTATAGTGAATCCAGTAACAAAATAAAATCTAAATGCTCATAGCTGTTTATGTTAAAATATATCCGTGCTGGTGATCCATGGTTTGGAATGGATCTAGATCTGACCCTCATTCAGTTGCTGCCACTCACCTGGAATCGGGCTGTCACTGTGAGCTGCTGAGTCCTGGGAGCTCCAACCCTCCCCAATGAAGCAGTTCTGGTGGGTCCACTTGGCTCCACTCGGCCTGCTTGCTGTGTGGACATGTGCTTGGCCGGTCCATGGATGTGGGCCGGGGCCTGGGTATGGAATGCGTTCCAGGCCCAGGAAACTCACAGCCATGCACTACAAGCAGTTCTTCCCCAACTTCTCAGAAAACAACATCGGGGCCAGTGGGAGAGCAGAGGGCAAGATCACACGCAGCTCTGAGCGCTTCAACCAGCTGGTGTGCAACTACAACCCTGATATTGTGTTCAAGGATGAGGAGAACACCAGTGCAGACCGCTTCATGACTAAGGTGAGACACAAACATGTCCTAAACTTCCTTTACAGATAGGCACTTGATGCAGATGCTCCAGTGTATTCCACTCTGAGAATGCATTCAATCTCAATTATTTGCTGAAACTTAGGCTACCTGAGTTATGTCCGGTTTCCAACAGACCGTATGCATTTTAAGCATGCTTTTGCTCACTGTTTGCTAAAAACGAAGACCAGGAAGCAGTTGAACACCTCTTAAATGGACAAGTTCCCTACTGGAACACTTCCTTTTAATGCTTAACCAAAGTCTTTGTTAGTGGAAATAAATGATTTGAATCACTGGCTCTGTTTGCCCTCTAGGAAGAATATTAAACTCAAGGCACATGTTTTTTCCCCTTCATTTAGCAATTCAAAAATATATATATATATTTTTTTTAAAGACACTGGTGACTAAGATGCTAAAAATGCAGATGCTCAAATGATCTGTTCTGGATGCTGAGGCTCTGTGATCGTTATGGATGTAAGTCTGTGTCCCTTCCCCCTTCCAGAGTGATTGCATGTGATGAGAATCTGTAAGTGTACATGTGTATCCTCCTGGTACCCATGTGAGTGTATGTATGTGCCCCCTTTTTTGCCCACACGTAAAAGACCCTCATTGTGCGTCATTTGGAAACTCAGAGGGGTCGCCTATACAAAATTCCCGCCTGCTGAAGTAATGGCACCGTCGGAAAAGCGACTATTGTAGTTGTGACAATGAAACGCCTCTCCTCAATGGCATCGCAAGAGAAATGTACCCAGTTTGTTTTCTGCTCCTCACTCTTGCTGTCACATTCCCAACTCCGTGCCCATACATTCTTCCCCTCTGGCCTCCCCATTCGTCTCAACCTCGACCTTTTCCTACGACACTTTCTTCGCGTTCTCACCATTTTCCCTCCTTTTTATTTTTTTGCATTCAGCTGCAAGTTTCTTTTGAGAAGGTTAATTTTAGACACAAGTGAATACAAATAGAAAAGAAGTGTATCTCCTCAGATTGCTGGCGTCATACATTTTTTCCCCCCTTTGGTTGTCAATTTTACAACAAAGCTGACAGTCTGTAACATTACGGCTCATGGGGGTGTTAGGAGTCACTGTGCACATATTTGATCAAATGTCTCAGGGGTGAAAGTGTGTGATTGAAGTCTGGAACAAGCTGGAAAGGCAGAGAATGGCCTTGATTATTCTGTCACTCTGTTGAAAAAGCCAAAGAATGTGCCGGACTTGCTACAGTAGGTTGCACTCTGATTGTTTATGCAAAAGTGAGATGACCTTTAAGCAAACTAGAGGGGAGAATCATTTAGTAGTTCCTTCTCTACTTCAAAGTGTGCATACATATATTAGAATAATCCGAGATCAGTTTGTGCACTGCACGTGGCTGCTGTTCCAATGAAACAATTACAAATACTTCACTTGAACCAGATTCTGTACAAGCAGTGTTGACTTTAGGTTGAGTAAAACAACCGATGTTGGCTATAACAAACAAAGAACAATTAAATATGACTTGTACCTACAAAGTAAAGTATTATTTTTAGAAAGCTGCAAACTGATTTCTCCCAAATGAGCGTTGGTATGTTCATGCATGACGAAGACGACATTGGTCTAACCTCTCTAACACACCAGCCCATCCCTGTCTCTTCTGTGTCATCCTTGCACAGAGATGTAAGGACTGTTTGAACAGGCTGGCCATTGCAGTGATGAACCAGTGGCCTGGGGTGCACCTGCGTGTGACGGAGGCCTGGGATGAAGATGGTCACCACCCTCAAGGCTCTCTGCACTACGAAGGCCGAGCTGTGGATATAACCACAGACGACAGGGAGACGGAGAAGTACGGCCTTCTGGCTCAGCTGGCTGTAGAAGCAGGCTTTGACTGGGTGTACTATGAGTCCAAGCATCACATCCACTGCTCGGTAAAATCAGGTGAGATTGAAGAGTTCTTAAATACGACAACGCAAGACAGTGGTGTGATTTTTTTAAGACAATAAAATGTTTTGTGTTCTGCATAAATTATCTTGCAGATAAGTCAGAAGCTGTGGAGAGAGGTGGTTGTTTTCCGGGCTGGGCACGGGTGACTCTTGCTGGAGGACAGCAGAAGAGTCTGTCATCTGTGACCCCTGGGGACAAGGTCATGGCTCTGTCTGAAACGGGCCAGGTCGTGTTCAGCCAAGTGCTCTCGTTTCTGCACCAGAACAAAGAAAGCTGGTCCACCTTTCTGTCTTTGGAGACAGAAGATGGCCACAGATTGGTTCTAACTCCACATCACTTGGTCTTTTTGGCCCCTGATTTCAGATGTGGTGGTAGTGAGTACCGGGCTCAGTTTGCTAGCAGGGCTAAAGCCAGAGACTGTGTCCTCATCAGCACTGCAGGTGGCCTAACACGACCGTCACAGATTGTGTCAATTTCAGAGACTGAAAGCATGGGAGTGTACGCCCCCTTGACAGAAGCTGGAACTCTGTTTGTTGATGGAGTGCTGGTCTCCAGCTACGCTCTGCTGGAGAACCACAGACTTGCACACTGGGCTTTTGGACCTTTGCGGCTGCTCCACCCACTAAACCAGCTACTGTGGGGGGAGATGGTGAAAGAAAGGCAGACGGAAGCATGCACCGAGACTGAAACACATTTTAGCACTTTGAGCACAAAGAACAAATCATCGATAAATGAAGAGAGCTTACTGATCAATAAAGACAATCTTAGTGAAGCTGTCATGGCAAAACCTCAAGAGGTGCGACCCCTCGAAAGACAGATGTCAGATGTTCACTGGTATGCCAGATTCCTCTACAGAGTTGCATGCATCTTCTTAGATGCCAGCATATTTGATCCTTAAAATCCAAATCTACAGACTGTAAATCACACTATAGCTGTGATCCATCCATGTTTTATTTTTTTAAATAAGAAAAACACACTGGAATGGCTTTTTACACTACTGCTTATATTCTAATTTTCTGTAAAGATCAACTTGGAATTACTTTCAATCTTTAGGAATTGTTAAAGCGTCAGAACTGAGCTGGTTAATGGCAAAATAACTGTAAATTAATATTTTTATTCCTGTCATTTATTATTGTTCTGATAAAAAAATGTACAAACATATTTCCTGTACAACAGAATTTTTATTTTTGTACTTCATGAATCATAATATATAAAGGTTGCATTTATTAAAAATAATTCCACAGCTTGTATTATACATGTCATGTCACAAAACAAATAAACATCTTTATATATATATATATATATATATATATATATATATATATATATATATATATATATATATATATATATATGATCAGGACTTGTGAATGTTGCAGTATGCAGCATCCATCGGGTTAATGAAAAGCTGAGACTTTTTCACATCAACTTTGAAGTTTCTCAGAAATGTAGAGGTTGTGTGCAAGAACTCCACAAGTTTTGTGTTAAAAATACAAGTAAACCCCCTTTCCTGTGTTATATATGCAATTAAGGATGAGGCATTTAAATAATACTTGACTCAGGAATGAAATTTTGATCTTATACACCCCCTTGTGGTGAAACCATTTGCTTGTGGGATTAATCATTTCAGATTGCACAGATTTCCCAAATCTGAGCATTTAAACTCATTAAAAAACATAATTTGATTTAAAATCCAGTGCAGAGCTAGTTGTAAAAATCTGCTGATATTATTTACATCCAGAAATAAGGCTGTATGTACTGATCTGTAAAGGAACACATTAAAACCCTGATTTTACAATAAAACTCAACATTTTACATTATGGTTTTAAGAATAAGATCATTTAGTAAACTGGAATTTGTATAAATGACAGGAAGAATAATGCCCATGTTAGCTTGTCTTATCTGCCCATGAGTGCACAATAATTAAACTCTGAAATACAAATCAAAGCAAATACCATACAAGAAATCTGAATATTTATCCCCTCTTTCATTTTATGCTATGTTATAAACATCTGTGAAGGTATTCCAGGGGATTATCCTTGAAGGCAGGAGCCAGATGGGGAAGCACTGTCTTCAGCCCCTGACCAATGGGAGCCACCCATTGTCCTAATCCCACCCTCTGTTTACATCCACTGGCAAATCGGTCGTTGTCTTCTAACCAGGCTCTGCCCCAAAATCTAATCCAATTTTCCTAAAGCTGAATGGGAAGTTAAGTAATCCCGTCAGTGGGACCAGTAATACCCTATTTCCAAAATGAAAACATGCTCACCTCACATTCAGGCAAAGAGAGACCCAACAGAGCCACTTCTAATTGGAAATAGTCAAATCACATGTTTTATCAACAAATTGTTTTTACTTGTTAAAATTGTCCTATATAACATTAGGCATTTCCCCCCTGGCAGACAGTAATGAGGGTTGCACTCTAATTTGAACATGTGCTAGTTAGGTGAAGCTCCAGAAGTGGAATGCAGCCTACACTAACACACATGACTTTCCCTTTTCTTTCAGGTCTAAATCACAGCTAAAATATCTTTATAAATTTGGGTCAGATTTACAAGCCAGAAAATTATTTGTGCTGCATAGGTCACTCTCCAGGAAAAATAAGATTGTTCATTCCTTAAAGGGCATGATTTCTGATGTCACTGAACGGGTCTGAATTTGAAGCACTCGAAATATTGTTGCATTATAGCTGAAATATTTGATTAGAGTTTTTTTATATGTCTAAAATAACCAAGGGTTCTTCTCTTTGTAGGGATTAAATCTGACCTCTTCAACATGACATCTTCCTTTCCTCTGAGTTCACATGCTTCATCCAGTAACACTAGAGCTTTAGTCCTAGTATTGCCTCAAGGCCTTTGTGTTTTCACAGTGGGGTGGATGATGACAGGACAGAGAGGCTGTTGCCTTAATTAAGGCCAAACCCAGAGCCATCCCCAATATACAAAATTTGACAGTGCTGATTTGCAGCCTTTAAGATTATTATTAATAGTTATGTTTTGGATTTGTTAAGCAAATATTAGTGTAAAACTTGTGCTAAAATTGTGCATTTTGGGGACCATTTAATTATTTTTAATGAAATACAAAGCAGCATCAGTTTAAACCAGAAACTGAGCAGTTCTCAACTCAGCTTCTCTTTTCCAAGTCATCCATACCTCTGTATTATTCTCACATTTGATAACAGTCCCTTCCTCTATGACTAGACGTGACTTTTTAAACCTAAAGTGAGAAATGAGAAATAAATAAAACATTCAATTAAATTAAAAAATATATTGTCCTATTAAAAGTAAAGGCAGTGGTCTTGTTTTTAATTTAAAAGGTCTGACAGATGAAACATTTTACGTGCAGTATTACATTTAATTATTATGTTTGTTGCTGTCATACTACCAGAACACACATTAAAACGTCCTAAAATAACTTCAGGATGATATTTTGGATTGTGAATCAGGTGAAATTTTAAAGTTAGATTCATGACTCAAATTCAATTATATCTGATTCATGTGCTATGATTTAGCTGAATAGAAGCTGTTTGAGGATCATCAACCACGAAAAATAACACAACACGTTTTTAAATTGCTTTGCAAAATGATTTTGCACACGAACATGATGAACTTTCCTGAACTCCGGTCCCAATCTTAGCAATCTAATGAAAAATGGCTTCCTGGGATCCGAAAATCGAATGACCTAAAATAAACTATATCCACCATATTTTGCTGACTGCGTTTTCCAGATTAAAATCTACAGATAAATTATTTGATCTCGCTTGCTTATTCACTGTTGAGTTTAGGATGTAACACTGTTATAAATATGCTCCAATAGAGCCCATGTTCTGGCCGTCCGCCTGCATGCAAGTATAATTTTTGACGTAGTTGTTTATTACCGAGCGCAGCTAGCAGCGATTAGCCACTTAGCGGAACAGCCGTGCGGGGACGCAACCAAGTGACCCATACAAGGGTACCCATGCAAAGTTGAGCTGTAAATTTAGATGGATGAAAGTCTGCATTTGGTTCAAAACTTTGAGGAAAGTGGATTTTCTGACAAGTCAAAAAAGTTTAGTGCCGTAATTTCCGGATACGCTGTTTTTTTTTTAATGCAAACCCAAAATCTCGAGCCAGATTCCAGAACATAGCTGAAGCTCGCAGTTAGCCTTTAAGCTAAATTAAAGGAGCCACAACGTGAAGCCGGGGAACATCTTTCTGGACTGTTTGGGGACTTTGTTCTTAGCTTTATTAAGTCCTCGATAGTTTATGACGACTCGTTATAAAGCACCAGTCGCTAGTTAGTTTGGTAGCCACGGCATTACCCATCTGGCTCAACAGCTAACAGCCTGCCATCCGACGAGTTGCACTTCCCCCACTCTCAGAGCAGCAGCCGGCTAGCTGCAGCGCTAGTCCGGTACATAAAATGAAGCGACCATCAGCATTTCTGGACGCTGTGTGGCTCATTGGATTCTGCTGATGCATGAGGAGACGAATTTATTTTTGTGAGGTAAGCTATTTACAAGATATTTTATTCTAACTTCCTGCAAACATGCACAGTTAAAGCTACAAACCCTGACCTTATACCGGTGTTAGCTCTTGAATTTGTAGCCCGGACCTTTTGATTACAACTAATTGCTGGAGAGCTAGCTATGCTTCGTGTTTGCTAACTTCGGGTAGTTATACATTGGTTGTATGCGCGTTGTAAATCACAGATAACGCTGCTGGCACATTTAATGGCATATTCCCTTGTGTCTTGTATAGTTTTACATAGTCTTGTCTGTTTGGGAGACTTTGATGCTACGCCTCTGTTGGTAGTTGTTAGCTTTTCAGTGTCAGTTTGTCGTCACTGACATGGACCTGTCTATTTGCTGGAAAGAAATAACCTTTCAGTCGATGTTTACTATGACAAATAGTGCTTAGTGTTCAACTTTAATCATCCCCGAGGGGCAATTGTTGTTGCATTCATTTTGTTATTAATTTTAGTTTACCAAAAAACGAACGTGTTCGTCATTAAATTGCAACAATAACTGGCTTATAATCAAGAATTGCACATCGTGTCATTACTACTTTTGCTTTGTGCAACTGAGCGAGTCTAGCTTATTTAGCATTTTCGTTAACTTGTAGGTCGGGCTAGGTTGGGGAAACCTATATTCAACATTTAGGGATAGTGTTTTTACTATTACTTCTGAGGACGACTAAAATGTGTGTTATGGATTATATAGCTAAACACATTATGGTAATAATCATCATTTGGCGACATCCCAGGTACTGCTGATAAAATTAGAACCTTACCGAGTCTTATAGTGGATGTTCTGTCTGCAATAATAAACATAATCGAGTTGTTTTTAATGATTTTGTATCAGAAGCATGTCTGATCTTTATTAGTGTTTGGTATCTATTTTAAGTCGAATTACTACCTTTTCAATCGTTCATCGTTTAAATCGAGATACTTGTTCAATATATATAATTTGCGCAGCGCGAATGCATTTAAAAAATAACATATTTCTCCATTCACACCACTGTCATCGCGTCTCAGTAGTTCCCGCAATAAACGAGGACAGGCTAGTTGTGCACGCTGGGTTATTTCAGGAAGAGGCGATCAAATCTTATTTAAATAAAATGACTTTAGCTTCACGGTTAGTCCTAGTGTTAACACGCGAGTCTGTGGTCGGATATCTGCCACTTTCAGCTGCATTTGAGAAAATCTAAAGGAACTGTTACAAATCTCTCTCCCCCTCTCTCTCTCTCTCTCTCTCTCGCGCGCGCGCGCGCGCGTGCGTGTGTGTGTGTGTGTGTGTGTGTGTGTGTGTGTGTGTGTGTGTGTGTGTGTGTGTGTGTGTGTGTGTGTGTGTGTGTGAAGGAGAGAGCGAGAGATAACATAGGTTTTTTAAGCCTTGTACGGAAAGTACGCATTCAATATAGATTGGGCCAAAAATTGGGCTCAGTCTGTTTTGGTCCTTTCTCTTATTGTTTGTTTGACAGCGCTTTGTAAAAGGCGTGAATCTCATAGCGGAACAAAGTTGCGTCTGACGAGGTTCTGCACGACCCAAATCCCGCTGCAACAGGAAGTTCAGTATACGGAAGTTGTATTTTCTTTGTGTATCCCGATTTCTTGTTGTTTTATTTAGCAAAACAGAAATTTTAGTTCTAACACCCAACGTTTTTTGCTCATAGCTTCATCATCGACTTGGATTATGCATTGTTTGGTAAAGAAAATTAATTGTTAAAGCGAATTTCTATTGATCTGTCGCATGTAACCTTCGCGCTAATTTTGTAAGTTTGCGTAAAAATCTCGGTTGCGTTTTATTCCCACTACTGCATTATTAACGCAAGTAAATCGTGTGAATTTTATTGGTGTTACTGCACTTATATTGGTCATGTTACATATTTAACGTTCTAGCATTTGAAAGACTTTTGGCACGACGAGAGAGTTGCATATGTTTTTCCTTTTTTCTGCTATGATGCTTTTGGTGGACTCATTTATGAAAATTGGTAGTCAGCCGTTTTGTTTATTGCATTTAAAGCTGGGCTTTTCGTCATCTCACTCAGTAAACTCATATACTTGTTTGTGTTTTTATGATAAAATCACAAATCTTTGAAATTGTTTTTGAGTACTCCAGCATTTTCAGTAATTACGTGTTGATAAAGGTTTTATGGCTTTACCATGAGCTAATCTTCTAAGAAAATGCTTAGATTTATTGTTCATGACGAACTATCTTGATGTATTGTTGGCCATTTGATTAACATCCTAAACATTATGCTGTGTGTGTTTTTCATTTATAGATCTCTGTAAAAGAGGTCAAAATCAGAACGGGGAATGGACGAGCAGAAATCAAACTGCGACGAAAATGACTCTGAAACAACAGGTAATTTTAATGTTGTCCTCTTTGTTTGTACAATGGTTTTCCTGAGGATCTTAAAAGTGCTTAAGAATTTCAGGTTTCATAGATAATTATTTGCAATTTATCATGTTGATAGTAGAGCAGAAGAAAGTTTTCATGTACTCTTGCTTCATTTTTCGTCCTCCCTTATCACCAGCTGATGACAGTGCCTCTGAAAAACAGCCTGTCTCTGCCAATGAGTCATCCAAGACTTCACCTGCTGCAGAGGATGAGTCTGGTGTTAATGCAACCTCTTCCAGCGCCCCTGTGTAAGTTTTTGATTCACATCAGAAAAGCTGAAATTCCTGCTGCTTGATCCCAAGAGCATATTCCTTCATATCGGAAATTCCATAATATGATTTATCTTATGTGTTTTATTTCTATGTGTTTGAACAGAGAGAGTGCCCGTGCCTGTGCGCTTTGCAATTGTGTGGAACGGAGCTTGCATGGGCAGCGGGAGCTGCGACACTTTCAGCCGTCTTCTGAGCGGCCAACTCTCAAGCCATCAGCTTTCCCACTGCCACAGCCTGGAAATGATGACCTGTCTTCCATTGGTTTTTCGGACTCCTCTTGTCTGACGGCACTCCTTGATGACCCAGGTTAAACTCAAAACTTTTCACTTTTACTGTTTTGGATCACTTTCAAACAGTTCATTGTTCTAAGAGATCAGCGGTGCACATGAACCTGAAAACTTTTTGACATCATACTGAATTTTTGCTTATACTTAACAGGGGGGTGTTGGGTTCACCACTGGTGTGCAGTGTGGTCAGAGGGAGTAAAGCAGACAGAGGATGAGGAGCTGGAGAACGTGGATAAGGCCGTTATCTCAGGGACACAGCGTGTAAGTGATGTGAATTTAACAATATAAGATAGTTTTTAAAAATCAAGATTCTTCCTTAATACTAATGCTGCTATTGATACTATATATATATTTTATTTTGCTCAGCTTTGCGAGTATTGCAAAAGGCTGGGTGCAACCATACGATGCCACATAGAGGACTGTTCACGATTCTACCACTTCCCATGCTCGGCAGCCAGTGGATCTTTCCAGTCCATGAAACAGCTGGTTCTTCTCTGTCCTGAGCACATAGACAAAGCAGAGGTGTTGGGTAAGATGATGATTCTGAATCGAGCATCCTTTTCGATAGAGGACTTAAGCTCATCCAGAGTGTTGGGTCTTGTGTCTCCCAATGTTCTCTTCACAAGATCCCACAGCTTGTGCCGATGATAGATTATACAGGTCCTTCTCAAAAAATTAGCATATTGTGATAAAGTTCATTATTTTCTGTAATGTACTGATAAACATTAGACTTTCAAATATATTAGATTCATTACACACAACTGAAGTAGTTCAAGCCTTTTATTGTTTCTAATATTGATGATTTTGGCATACAGCTCATGAAAACCCAAAATTCCTATCTCAAAAATTAGCATATTTCATCCGACCAATAAAAAAAAAAAGTGTTTTTAATACAAAAAAAGTCAACCTTCAAATAATTGTGTTCAGTTATGCACTCAATACTTGGTCGGGAATCCTTTTGCAGAAATGACTGCTTCAATGCGGCGTGGCATGGAGGCAATTAGCCTGTGGCACTGCTGAGGTGTTATGGAGGCCCAGGATGCTTCAATAGCGACCTTAAGCTCATCCAGAGTGTTGGGTCTTGTGTCTCTCAATGTTCTCTTCACAATATCCCACAGATTCTCTATGGGGTTCAGGTCAGGAGAGTTAGCAGGCCAATTGAGCACAGTAATACCATGGTCAGTAAGGGTTTTGGCACTGTGAGCAGGTTCCAGGTCATGCTGAAAAATGAAATCATCTCCATAAAGCTTTTCAGCAGATGGAAGCATGAAGTGCTCCAAAATCTCCTGATATCAAGAGCAGGGTCAATGCAGCTAGCTAAAACACAATGGACCAACACCAGCAGCTGACCTGGCACCCCAGACCATCACTGACTGTGGGTACTTGACACTGGACTTCAGACATTTTGGCATTTCCCTCTGCCCAGTCTTCCTCCAGACTCTGGCACCTTGATTTTTGAAGGACATGCAAAATTTGCTTTCATCCGAAAAAAGTACTTTGGACCACTGAGCAACAGTCCAGTGCTGCTTCTCTGTAGCATGAAGCTTGATCAGAAGTTAGCTCTGTGAAATGTACTTTCCAAATTTGCTATTGCAGCTTTAACCAAACAATATTTTAACTTATTTTCTTGTGGTTATTTCTTCATGACTTCCTTGGTGAATCCCTAAGACAACGAGGATTAAATATTAATAAAGCTATTTATATGTTTTATCTTTAGCTGGAGAGGAGGCTTGGTGTGCAGTGTGCGATTCAGTTGGAGAACTCACAGATTTGCTTTTCTGCACGGGCTGTGGCCTACACTATCATGCGACATGTTTGGAAATTGGTGCTACACCCATCCAGAGAGCAGGGTGGCAGTGCCCAGAGTGTAAAGTGTGCCAGACCTGCAGGTCAGTTTATTTTATTGAATGAAACTGCACCCATTTTTAAGTTTCAGTTATAGTTTTACATGTTTGAAACAAAAATATTATTCTTTGTGAAGTTCTTTCTGGTTTTTCTCTTGATTCTTACTTTCAGACAACCAGGGGAAGACTCAAAAATGCTGGTATGTGATGCTTGTGATAAGGGATACCACACCTTCTGTCTCCAGCCCGCCATGGACTCTCTTCCCTCTGATCCTTGGAAGTGCAGAGTAAATCCCTTTTTTTCTTATTCATCTGGATTTCATAACAAAAATAGTTTTAGAGAATACATTTACATTTGTACAGCTTTTAAAAAAATATCAGTAAGATTTTGTTTCATGCTTCATCAGTTGTTGGTTCTAACTTTAATTCTCATATCAGAGGTGTCGTGTGTGCATGGAGTGTGGTGTCCGGGGATTGGTGCTGCCAGGTTCAGCCCAGTGGTTTGAGAACTACACTGTGTGTGAGGGATGCCAGCATCAACGCAGCTCAGCGTGTTGTGTGTGCAGCAAAGCTGCGGACCCATCTGTTGTGCTTCAGTGTTGCAGCATATGTAACAGGTTAGTTTAAAACGCAGCAAAAGTTACTATAATGTGCAGCTGACACCCGTTCGCAGTATTATAATTTTTGATGATCTCTTGATTATCTTAGATGTATGCACCGTGAGTGTGCTTCATCAGGGGAGTTTCCAGAAGCCAAGGCCGTTTGCCTGCTTTGCACAGAGGATCAGCAGCAGCAGCCTGGTGCTCAAATGGACACCGTGGAGCAGCAGACCAGAGAGGAGACGACAAGCCAAGTGGAGGCTGACGTCTTAACAGGAAAGCAGACAGATTTGTCTGAACAGGACACATCAGGGATGGATAACGCTGAAGAGACACAGATGGGATTGGGTATGCCAGAATTCCATCTGGTGTAAAGTTTTGGAGGAATTGTTTGGAAAATGTTCGGTAACGCTTCCTTTTACAGTCCCCTAATTACTATGTTTATGTTATGTTTATGTATTTAGCAGACGCTTTTGTCCAAAGCGACTTACAAGTGATAATCGGCATATTGCCCTTGAGGCTAACAACAACAATAACAACAACAGCATTGACATCAGTCATGGAGAGTAGGGAACAAGGAGTGGACGGTAGAGAGGGGGACGGGTGCAGGCAAGGTGCTAGTTAAGAAGATGCTCTCTGAAGAGCAGGGTCTTCAGGAGTTTCTTGAAAATTGGAAAGGAAGCTCCTGTTCTGGTAGTGCTTGGAAGGTCATTCCACATTTGTGGAACGATGTAACTCGGGTTCAATTCTAGTTTTTATTTTTATGAATAATTCCCAGTAAATACTGCTTTACACAATAATTACACTTTATTACAATTATACACTTTAATTACACAATAATACACGTTAACTTACTATGTAATTACCATGTAAGTACTTAGTAATTAGGAGATGGCAAAAGGAAGCGTTACCAAATATTCTATTTACAATGTTTATGAGCTACATTATGTTTTAATTCAGGAATGGCGTCTGCAGTTCATACAACAGAGCCACAGGAAGCAACAAAAGGTTCTACTAGTGTGGTGCCAGCTGCTCCACTTGTGTCCAGAGGTAAAACCAAAACACATGCTGATCACGAGGAAGCATCTTATATTTGTGCATTAATGATAAGAGACACATAATCTAATGATGCTGATCGTGATTTTGTTAATCCATGTAGTGAGTAAAACAACAGAACAAGAGGAACCGTGTCAACCTGATGGAGGCGCACTCGGGCAGAAGACACAAGCCACCTCCTCCCTGGTCCCTGCAACACAGACGCAACCTACAGCAGTTTCACATCAAGTCCATGAAAGCATGGAGTTGGAGAAAGGGGAAGAGAAGCAAGAGAGCACTCTCACTCTTGAGCAAGACCCATCAAAAGAGTCATTAAAGAGTGGGTCTGATGACGTGTCTAAGGTGGATTCACGGATGTCAGATCCGAGCTCTGTTTCCGTGGGCAAAACAGAACGTTTGTCCATGGATGATAAGCTGGAGAGAAGTCTGTGCCACAACCAGCAGTCTCCCGCCCTTTCTCCATCAGAAGACAAACATGAGGCTCTCTCTGCTATGGATATGGAGAGGAGATCACCTCCTCACTCTGACGAGGAGGATGAGGAGGAGGAAGATGATTACGAGCAAATAAAAAGACATAATTTGGATATTAAACGAGAATTTCAGGAGGTCAAACCAGAGTTGCTCTTGGATGAAATGTCTAATATGAGTCATGGAGATGAGAGCAGCAGCGGTTTCCTGGGCTCTCCGGGAGAACCCGATCCTCAGCTGTCCATGGAGCTTGGGCTTGTCTCTGGTGGACGATCGCGCACAGATAGCCTGCTCACCGAGACCGATGATTCGCTTCCCTTTGAGCTCCTTGGAAGTGACAGAGAGAAGGCTAAACGCAGAGGATCTCCAGGACGCTCCAGAGTCAAACAGGTGGGCTCACCGTGATCCTACTCTGAGTTTTGGTTTTTTAAATGTTGTTTGTATTGAAATAACTTTACGTGCATTTATATTTCTTATTCAAAGGGACGAAGCAGCAGCTTTCCTGGAAAGCGCAGGCCTCGAGGGGGCGGTGGAGGGAGAGGACGCGGCGGCAGGTCACGTCTCAAAGCTATGGCTTCTTGCATTGATGCTTTTTTGGTGAGAATTGTTCACAAATTTAGATTAAATTTAATATGCAGAATTTTAAGTATGCATTTAAAAATGTAATCACATTAATCATATTTCTTTTACAGCTTAGCATGACCTCAGACACTGGACTGAGTAAGGAGGAAGACGAAGAAGAAGATGACACCATGCAGAACACTGTGGTTCTTTTCTCAAACACGGATAAATTTGTTCTCCTCCAGGTTAGAGCGTTTGTCTTGTCTGACGTGTGAGTTGTCTTTTTTTATAAATGTTCTCTAAATTTGTTTTAACCTTTTCTCCATTTCAGGACATGTGTGTTGTGTGTGGCAGTTTTGGAAAAGGTGTGGAGGGGCAGTTGCTAGCCTGTGCTCAGTGTGCCCAATGTTACCACCCTTACTGTGTGAGCAGCAAAGTAAGAACCGTGTTGTTGTTTTTAAACGTTGAGTTTGTCCAAGAACATGGATACAATCAACAGTTTTTTTCATGCAGATCACCAAAACAAAGCTGCGTAAGGGCTGGCGATGTTTGGAGTGTATTGTGTGTGAAGTGTGTGGAAAGGCCTCGGATCCCTCTCGTTTGCTGCTGTGTGATGACTGCGATGTCAGCTATCACACCTACTGCTTGGACCCTCCTCTGCACACTGTACCAAAGGGTGGTTGGAAGTGCAAATGGTAGTTTTCTTTTATTTCTACAACAGCAACACTCTGTTCGTCTTTTCAGCTTTGAATTGGGTCAAATGGAAATGAGTGCATGCAAATTTGCATATTATGTAAAACAGTGAAACACAGTATCTCAGCTCTGCATTAGCAATTCAAAATCCAATTGCTTTGCCTTGTTCTTTGCAGCATCCCAAAAATGAGCTCATATTTTGTTTGGCAGCTTCTCTTCTCTTGATAAATTTTATAGTAACCCATCTCCTTTCTTTTTTTTATCCAGGTGTGTGTGCTGTGTCCAGTGTGGTTCCAGCTCACCAGGTTTCCACTGCGAGTGGCAGAACAACTACACACACTGTGGACCTTGTGCTAGCCTCGTCACCTGTCCGGTATGCAGGGAGAACTTCATGGAGGAGGAGCTGCTGCTGCAGTGTCAGTACTGTGAACGGTGGGTACTGGCTGTTAGATCTCCACATGCATACACAAAACAGAGAATCTGTAGCTAATCAAGACAAGTAGGAAATCGATTCCTTATGCGTAACTTTTCTGAGTTGTTGAAAAGTGTGAGTTGTGTGTTTCTGTGCCCTTGCAGGTGGGTCCATGCTGTCTGTGAGAGTCTGTACACAGAAGATGAGGTGGAACAAGCTTCTGATGAGGGTTTTGCATGCACATCTTGTTCCCCATATGTCCCCAAACCTGTGGGTGAGTCTCACAATGACACCACCTCACAATTATAAACTATTTACATTTCAAAGTAATTCTTTACTGATGAGAATTTTTTATTTATGTTCTCTTTCCTCCCCACTTGTGGTCCTTGTTCTCAGTAGTAGAGTCCGCAATTATGGCTTCCATAAAGATTAAAGAGCCAGGTTAGTGAATTTTACTTACTAGTAAATATTTCTGTAAACATTCTGTTTTATTCTACTTTACTGAGATTTGAACATTTCCCATTTCAGAGCCTCAGTTCTACCGACTGGAGGGGGTATGGTTGACTGAGTCGGGTATGTCCTTACTTCGTAGCATCTCCATGTCTCCTTTGCACAAGAGGCGGCAGCGTCGCTCCCGTCTCAGCCTTTTGTGCTGTGAAGGAGGTCCTGATGGGATAGATATGAGAGATGTTGATGGAGATGGGGAGGATGGAAAAGGTTGGCGTGCTCTTCCTACGTGTATTGCTCAGTGATGATTCATCAGTGATGTTCTGGACATTTACATGACCCCTCCATCTTAATAGGTTGTGGGGATCCCATGGAATGTGAATCCAAATTGGATGGAGCTGGGAGCCCTGACAGAGAAGGTGGTGAGAGGGATGCAGGAGCAGAAGGAGGCAATGAAGGCATGGCTGACTGCGAGGGTCTCAAAGGGGGCGCAGAGGACATGGAGGACAGCAAAAAAAGGAAACGGAAACCTTACAGACCTGGTAAATGTCTCCAGAATTTCACAACTTTTAACATCTGTGTGGATGATTTCTCTATTTTGAAATGCTGACATACCCCTGGCTTGTTTTACCAGGTATTGGGGGCTTCATGGTGCGACAAAGGAAGTGTCACACACGGATGAAGAAAGAGTTCTTCGCCCAGCTGGCTGGAGAGACTACATTAGATGGACAGCCAATCGAGCGAACTATAGAAGAAGGTGTGTGTGATAAAGTTGAACTTCATTTAATCAAACGGATCCTTTAGTTTTCACATATTATTGGGGAATATAAACACATACAAAAAAAAAAAGAACTGTGTCTTCATTTCATTTGGTGACACTAAGTTTGCATTGAGACATGTTGAGGCTAATGTAGTCAGTAGATTAAAAAGAATAATATTTAAAGTACACTTGCTTTTATGTCCTTGTGTCTGTGTGGACTCTTCAAAATGTTTAACCCAAATTTCTTAAACGTTTTTTTGAAAAAGTTTGAGTTTTACGCCGTAAACTGAAATTCTAAATGTGTGCAAGAGATGAAATGGTTGTGTTCACTATAAAGGGTTATTGGTGTGTAAAACAGAGCGTTCCGGCTCCATGTGTGTGTGTAGGACCTCACCCCGACACCGATAACATAATGGATCCTAAACCAGTGGAGGGCGAAGAACAAGCTAAGAAACGTCGGGGCAGAAAGAAGAGCAAACTTGAGGACATGTTTCCAGCGTATCTTCAGGTGTGTGCTTTTGTTTTGCCCTCACCAAAACAAGTTTTGAAATTGAAACCAAACTTTGACCTTTTGTATGTTTTGATTTATTGCAGGAGGCTTTCTTTGGGAAGACTCTAATAGATTTGAGTAAGAAAGCTGTGATGATGGCTCCGGGTCAGAGGACAGGTCCATGCCTTGTTCGACCTTCATTACCAACACCAGCAGGGGTCAAATGTGCTACCCCAAACAGTAAGACCACGTGTTCAGCTGTTTACGATGCTGACTGTGCAAAAGGTCAGTATAGTGACTTGTGCTTGTTTCACTAGTTGACGCCAAGGATCGGGTGGTGGAAGGAAGTTTTCCTTGCAAACAAGAGGGGGGTGAAGCCCCCAAGGCTCAGGGAGAAAGCACAGGTGTGTGTCTGTTTCACATTAAGACTGTAGTTTAATATTATCATTTAAAAGCTGCTAAAATGTTTCCTAAAACAATTTTAGGAAGTCCTGCACCATCCTCATCAATGAAGGACCAGATGGCCATTTATCCCCAAGACTCTGAGGCAGAAAAGAGTGAAGGTTTGGGTTATTCATTTATTGCAAGCACATCATGTAACAGGTGTGATACTCTGTTATCTGAGTAACATTTTGTTCTTTTGTGCTCTCTTTGTGATGTAGGTCTTCCACAAGGGGTGGAAAGTCAGGATTCTGAACAGTTTTTCAGGAAGGTTCTTGGAGTGCAAGATGGTTCTCCTTTGGGAGGCATGAAACCAATTTTGGAAGCCAATAAGGGAGAACCAAATCGCAGTGCCATGCCACAGAGAGCTCTTCTCTCAGGTGTGTACAAGGGGTGCCCGCAGCTAAAACCTTTTAAAATGCTAACTTTTGGATTTAGAGATCAGTTAGGATGGGTTGGGATTAAAGCACTGACTCTCTTCCAGGATCTCTTCCCTCCACTGGAGTTATGGATGCCTTTCCTGGCCTCTCTCAGTCCCCCTTCTTTGATATGCGGTAAGACGGTTATTGAAATCTTATTTGCATCAGTTTTTCTCATAGTTCAGCTACAACATCTGTTGATTAGCACCTCTTTATTTGTCCTGACAGGAAAAGCTTTAATCAGGGTTCCCGCGGGGTCTTAAAAGACTTAAAAGTCTTGAATTTTGACAACTGGTCTTAAAATTTGTATGTAAATTCTTCATACTGTATTTGTCCTCTAAATAATTTTTATAAAATAACATAGCATAAAGAGTGGCGGAATCAATAATTGAGAAAGCATCGCAGCTCTGGTCAAAATACTCCGGACACGTGACGTATTCAGTCACAGCAGTGATACTAAACGGTAAACACAGACCTCCGGCAGAGGAGAAACGCGGAAAATCTCAGCAGACCACGAGAAAGGTTGACTGACGCCTATGGCTGGGTGCCAGAACTCTGGACCTCTTTGGGACTGAGTGAAAACATTCGGTAGGTACCGATATCAGAACAAAGGTGTTGAAATGTCCCAATGATAAATGACCCGCACTTGTATAGCGCCTCTCAGAGTAAGGACTCCAAAGCGCTTTACACTACAGTGTATCATTCATCCATTCACACACACATTCACACACTGATTGTGATAAGCTACGATGTAGCCACAGCTGCCCTGAGGCACACTGACAGAGGCGAGGCTGCCGAGCACAGGCGCCGCCGGTCCCTCTGACCGCCATCAGCAGGCAAGGTGGGTTAAGTGTCTTGCCCAAGGACACAACAGCAGAATTCTCTAGCCGGGATCGAACCTGCAACCTTCCGATTACTGAACAACCCAATCAACCTGTTGATCCTTTCAGCAACACTTCTCTGCAGTTCGCGGATGAAAACGCTAAAAAAAACCGTTTGGGTGCATTTTGAAAAAAGTAAGCGGCAGCTAAATGTAACACCAGCGAGAAGATTTGTGAAATGAAAATCAGGAATAGCAGCAATTTAACAAGCACCTCGTCGTGCAGGGCATCATCCTGAGAGCTGAAACATGGAAAGTCTTTGACTGCAAAAAGTAAAACCTTCCAAAACACTGGAGGAGTCTGAGGAGGGAGGCTAATAAAAACAGAAATCGGACATGAAACCAACTTAGCTGCTGTTTACCAGCATTATAAAATGCACTTCAGCAGGGTTGTTATTACTGCTATTACTCACATGCGGTGAAGCATTAATGAAGGCTATTTTTATACATATATTTCAATTTTGTGCCTTTGCTGTTTGCACTGTAGCTCTCCTGTTTTTGCTCAGAAACAGTTGAAATAAAGTATAATATAAATCCAATATAATAGGAACAAAACCTTTATGTAGTTTGTTATCCTCTCTTAAAATAAAAAAAAATAGATTTAAACAAAAGTATCATTAAGGTACCGCCATCAAAAAGCAGGCAGTGTTAAGTAGTAGCATGAAGAAGTATCCACTGGTACCCAGCCCAACCGACGCTGTTATATTTTAAATGTGTGTTTTACGTTAAACATAATAAAGCAGAAAGATAAGTAAATGAACACAAGTTGTTTTTTTTTGCCCTTTAGGTCTGAAGTGGGTATTAATTTTTTACATAAGTGGTCTTGAAAAGGTCTTAAAAGGTCTTGGATTTAACTTGATGAAACCTGTAGGAACCCTGTTTAAATGCTTAAGGACCTGAAGGTAAATTTCCTTTTATGACGTACAGAGACCGGGGAGGACTGTTCAGTCCAGATGCAGGGGAGGAGAGCCCGTGGGCCACACCTTCTACCCCGGTAACCCCTTCCTCCCCACCCACTCCCACGGAGGCAGAAGGAGACGGTCTGTCCTACAACCAGCGGAGTCTCCAGCGCTGGGAAAAAGATGAGGAACTGGGGGAACTTTCGACCATTTCTCCAGTTCTTTATGCCAATACCAACTTTCCTGCGCTGAAACAGGACTACCCAGGTTGGTGTTAGGAGGTGATGTCATACCAGCATAACCAATTGTGTTACTTTTCTGAGATATCAACATTTATTTTGTCACAGACTGGGCAAGTCGCTGTAAACAGATCATGAAGATCTGGAGGAAGGTGTCTGCTGCTGACAAGGTCCCATATCTGGTAGGTTCTTAATACTTTATAATTCCAACACAACTCAGGCTATCTGTTTTGTTTTTGTAGTTCTTTATTTAAATTTACAACACGATTTTAATTTATTTTAATGTTCCATTGCAGCAAAAGGCCAAAGATAACCGAGCAGCTCAAAGGATCAACAAGGCACAAAAGGTACATTTTAACATCATTGATGGTTAGAAGTTTCATTTTGGATACTTGTTCTTTGTACGTTCTGTTCATCGTTTTCTCTGCACTTCCTTCTTTCTCTCACAGCAGGCAGAGAGTCAGGTCTGCAGACCGGTGAAAACAGAACCTGGTCGTGTTAAGGGAGAACGACCAAACCTGCACCTCCAGATCCCTCCACCTTCAGGCTCTACATCAGTTTCTTCCCACCCCAGCTCAGCAGACAGCCCCTTTTCCTTTCCCCCAGATTCTGGATCATCTTCTGTATTTTTCTCAGACGGACCTATTAAGACACCACAGTCAGCCGACAGCCGGACAGATCCTTTGGCCAAACTTCCATCTCAGTCACCCCATTCTCACTCTCATCCAACCACGCCCTTCTCTCATGCTGGGGCCAGTCCTTTACAGGCCTCTTCCTCAGGTTACTCTGCTTCCGGCCCACAGGGTCCTCCTCAGGGACGGCCAGACACTCTTGGCCCTTTTGACATGCAACCAGGAACTCCTGGAACCCCCAGACGGGCTCAGCAAGTTGACCCCTACTTCAGGTCACAACTGCAGCAGCAACAGACTCATTCTTTACAATCACAGCAAGGCACTCAAGACCAACTTGGACCTCCTGAAAGTCCTCGTTCAAAAGGTCCTGGGCTTGGGGAGTCGCCTATTTTCTCACCACCACACAATCCTCACCACGGGGATTCTTTTAGAAGCCAGCAGGGACTAGGACGCTCAGAACATGGTTCATCTCCATCCCTCTCTGCAGTGGCTTCCTCTCCCGGACAGTACAGGGCTGAAATGAATGCACCATCTCCATGTTCTTCTGGTGCGGGAAGACCTGAGCTTTCTATCGGCTCCCCTGCTGGGATGGAGTCTAAAGACGGTTTATTCAAAGCACCTATGACCCCTCGAATGCACCAGGGGGAGGGTGGGGTACTTCATCCTGGAGCTTCCCCTAGTCATCCTTCTGAGAGTTACAGACAGTCTCCCTCCCACTCTTTCTCTGACCCCCACACTCATGCACCTCTAACTCCCAGACCACAGTCAGGTGACACTTGTGCTCCTGGACCCCAGAGACCGCTCACAGCACAGCAAGACCAGGGTCCTAGAGTGCCCTCTAGTCCACAATCCCAGGGGAGCTCTCCCCACACTCCAGGTGGCTTGTCCAATGATGCTTACTCTGTACATTCTCCTGCTGCTCCTCGTTTCCAGTCCCCAGACTCTTGTTCTAAGCCACCTTCAAGACCACAATCAAGAGACCCGTTTGCTACAATCCACAAGCCTCCTCGCACCTCCACTCTTCCTCCAGATGGAACTGGAAATTACAAAACCTCACCTCACTCTAACCAGCCACCTTTAGCCCACCCTAACAGCAGTCCTACGGGTGATCCACTCTCTGGTAAACCTGCTTTCAATCGCAGCCCCAGCACAGGGTGTTCCCTGGTCACCCAGCAACAGCCTCAGATGGTACCGGGTCAACCACAGCCGCAACCTCAAGCGACACTGGGAGCAGACAATCCCAGCTCCAGGGGGCCACCTTCCTCTGGGTCTCAAGAACTACCAGCTGTTCAGTCTACAGACTTGCTTCATCAACAGTCTTTAGCAAGCACCCAAGAAATGCCTGATCCATCAGCGGTGCAGGACCCTTCTTTGGTAGGACTAAGTCCCTCTGAGCTGGAAAAACACAAACAGGTATCAAAACAGCCAGCAGAAAACAAATCAACGCATCTCTAACATTTTGCTAATCTCTACTTTGTTATTTTTATAGCGCCAGAAACTAAGAGATTTCATAATCAGACAACAAATGCAGAAAAATTCAATCAGACAAGAGAAAGAGGCGGCGGCGGCGGCAGCCGCCGCTGCTGCTGCCGCTGCTGGAAGTGCATCCCCTGGCTGGTCTGGAGGAGAGATGGCAAGCTTTCAACAAGATAAGACCCACCGAGCACCTCCACCTTATCCACAGGTATGCCTGTCCACTGTATCAACTCTACTAATGTGTGGTCTAGTCAATATTTTGTAAGGTTTTTGTGATTTCTAATTCTCAAGTTGGGGAAAGCAGATTAGAGTGTTGTAGTCTTTCATGGGGTCTTGTTGTTTGAGCCAAGAACAAGGCTCCCATTTTTGTAGTTTGCAGTTATTTTGCCCTATTTGCCTTCTATTTTCTTTGTTGTAACTATTTTGTGTGGAGTGTTTCAGTGATGAGGTGGCACATTCTACTTGTGCATGTGGGCTTTGGTTTAGAGCAGGGATTCCCAAAGTGTGGTGCGTGCACCCCCGGGGGTGCGCGAGGTGAAAAGTGTAATGGCTGCGGAGCTCAGAGAAGTCTGTCAGATGTCACCATTAGCGTAGCCAGAAACTCATTTGTGGGTGGGCCAAAGAAATAGTAAGAGGGCACAATAAATGTAATTGAAAACAAGTATATTTTTGTGCGCGCGTGTCCTCCACATGTGCCCTAGCTTCATAATAACAATGCGCCGAGCTTCAGCGCTCTGTCCTGCGCACGCCGATATGTTCCGTATTTGATCATTTTTAACGGTGTTGGAGGAATCTGAAGGTGGTGAGTCATTCTGGCAGATTGTAATTAACACCTGTCTCATGCAGGTGTTCTGATATTGTAAACCTCACACACAGAACATCGTGGATGTAACAAAATAAATCAAGAAATTATTCCCATTCAGGCTATTAAAAGCGCGCTGAAGATCTGAAGTTCAGAGTGCGTCTGTCAGAGGTCAGACGCGTTCCAGCGAAACCACGGCTCACGGGTGCACAAGTGAGCACATCTGGGCTGGGCAGAAGTTTAAATAGCACCAATAACGAGACGCGGTGACTTAAAGGCTGCAAGTTGTGAAGCGCGTTCCAGCCGCATCACCAAGCGGAAAGTGAATGCGTCAAGCATAAACCAAGCTTCATGGAGCTGTGCCGCACGCGCGCTCACACACACACACACACACAGAGAGAGAGAGATTGATTCGCGCCGTCAGTCTGAAGGCAGAAATGAGCGCTGCCTCCTCCGTGATAAAAACTTTTAAGAGGTTTTATAACAACATTTTTCATTCAAGGTCAAATTAAGATACTAGCTTCTATTTTGGGATGACGTATTAAAGTCGGGTCCGCTCCAGCCAGTGACTCCGAACCTGAACTCATGTTACTGCAGCATTTGTTATTCCAGTCCGCATGGCAGCGGATCGCAGATTCAGCCACACCATAAAACAGCAATAAGTCGGTCTGAGGCAAAAGTGAACATCATGGCTATCTCTTTTCCATATTTTCCCCTATAGACATTTGATTACGCACAAGTAGGTGATCAGCTCAGGTTTACGCAGAGCAGAAGGAAGGAGAGCGCTCTGGCCAAACGTTCCTACTTTAAGGAAACCGTTAAATTGCATTCTTTAGGTGCTACCTGGGCACTCTAAATATTTATTTAAAATTAAATCAAAGGAAATTGTAATGGTATCGAATGTTTATTAATTGCTATTTAAAAAATGAAAGTGATGGGGAAAAAGGTCGATCATATTTTTTTAACCCTGGCTGTTTAGCATGACGTCTGATATATATATATATATATATATATATATATATATATATATATATATATATATATATATATATATATATATATATATATATATATATAGCCATGCCCTGATGTGGGGGCTGGGGGGTGCGTCGACATGGTCGGGACATAGAAGGGGGTGCGTGGCTAAATAAGTTTGGGAACCACTGGTTTAGAGTTACTGGAAAGTTAAAAGTGAACATTTCATCTAAGAATATAAGCTAGTTGAAAGTGGCAGATGTACTGTAAACACTAGCATATTCTAATTTCCTTTAGGAGTGTGTTCCTCCTGCTACCTCTGAAGCTCAGGTCTCCGTGGCTGGGAACATGCCTGCAGTCGTAGGAAGCATGGATGACAAGCTCATTCGGCCACCCCCAACAGGAACATCTCCCATGGTGGATGCTGGTGGACTAAGGCAAGCATTGATATTTAGTTGAAGCTCCAGTATGGTTGCTGTAGTGTAATCACCGAGAAGTAATATATAACAAGTGTCACTTAAATAATTAATTATCACGTCAACTCATCCTTGTATTCTCAGACTTTAGGCTTGCGTCACTTTTTTGGTTGTTTTAATTGAAATATGCATGTGTTTGTTCTAAAGGTTGCCAGGGCCCACCAGACCTCATGACATGTTTGCTCGTCCACCATTCCCTCCTCAGTGGCAGGGACAAACCCCAGGGCAAAGGAGGTTACCTCAGCCTGGCATGGAAGGAATGCCCATGAGGCACAATCTTAACCCTGCTGTCAACGTTCAGGGTATGGAACGCATGGGTAACCCTCACACCATGATGCCAGGACATGGAGGAGAAACCATGCAGCCAATGCGCCAAGGCCCCCCACCACAGTTCATTGAGTTGAGACACAACTCCCAAAGGATCCCCCTACGACCACAGTTCATGCCTCGTGGACCACAGCCAAGACCACGCCTCTTTGTTCAACATCAGCAGATGGCTGCACCTTACTTACAGCAACATCCCATAACTCAGGCTGGGGGTATTCAGACAGAGGGAGGTAGTGACTCAACGCTGGGTTTACCACAAGGTGGTCTTCCAGTTTTACTGCCTCAGCAGTCTACAGGCTCTGTAACACAACAGACTCGCATGGAGCCTCAAGCTGCTACTTCCAGTTCGAATGCTCAGAGTACTGAGCAGCATCGTCTTGCTCAGCCAGGTTTGGTGGCTGCGCCTCAGGTAGCAGCTGCAGGAAGCCGTGCAGAACTGCCTGAGGCTGACCTCGATGGCTTAGGTGATGCTTCCGGGGATGGAGGTGTGGAGGATGAGGACGATCTGGCTCTTGACTTGGATCCTGATAAAGGAGATGACGACTTGGGCAACCTGGACAACCTTGAAACCAATGATCCACATCTAGACGATTTGCTTAACAGTGATGAGTTTGACCTACTCGCTTACACTGACCCTGAATTGGACCAAGGTGACCCCAAGGATGTCTTTTCAGACCAACTTCGGCTTGTAGAAGCAGAAAGCGAAGCACCTTCATCTCTTTCTGGATCTGTTCATGTTAAAGTGGAAGGTAAATCCAAAGATAAACCAGGACAAAAGTCTTTAAAAACAGTCCCAGCTGCTGCAAAGCAGTCTGCTCTCCAAGAGCCCCCTGTTGCAGAAGTTGTTGATGCTTCCAAAGTAAAAGTAGAGGGCAACGGTCAGACTCATCAGCTGGCATCAGAACAAAATGTAGTAAAGGATGAGATGGGAGAGGCTGTGTCGATGCTTCTTGGTGGGACCACGTCAACCATCAAGACGGCACAAACTGAAAGCCAGTCAGCCTCACTTAGTTCTGTTCGATTAGGTGGACTTCCTTACCCCTTACCAGGTCAGGATGATCGCTTTCCTCCATGTGCCCCACATGGAGATATTGGTGATGATCCACTGGGGCTTCCTGATGTAGGAGGCCAGCACTCCCCTGCAGTAGATTTGGCAAAGGTTGAGAGCTCTCTAGATGGTGAGCTGCCTCTCCTCATACAAGATCTCCTGGAGCATGAAAAGAAAGAGCTGCAGAAACAACAGCAGCTAAATTCACTTCAACAGGGGGGCATGCCTCCTCATTTCCCTGGTCTCTCAAACCAGCAGCAGAACCTACAGGCTCCTGGGCAACTAATGCTGCAACATCAGCACCGTCCACCAGCCCCAGGAATGATTGCACAACCAGGAATGGGACCCCGTGCTGCACACATGCCTCAGCAACAAAGGCTCATAGGACCTGGGATGGTACCTCAGCCTCACATGTCTATTGCCCAGCAGCAATCAGTGATGAGGGCAGCACAGCCAGGAATGCACCCGGGCCATGGTCATCAACCACAGCCGGTTAAACAACCACCTATGTCTAACAGCTTCTTCCCAGATAAAGGTAAACTTAAGGCTAGTTACTGTCTACACAATGTTGTTAATATGGCTTCTGATCAGCAGTTGTTTTTTTATTCGTGGCAGATCCAGACAAGTTTCCTGCTGATGACTTCATGGATCCCATTGCCAAGGCAAAGATAGTTGCTCTAAAGGGTATTAAAAGAGTGTTGGCGCAGGATCCAATGGTTGTTCCTCCTGGCATCAACAGGTACAACAAACAAAAGCCTTTAAACTCTCTAGAGTTGAAGCTCACTATTCAGTGTCTTGGTCAGCATTTGGTGATTTTCACTGTTAATTATTGTTTGTTTTGACTTTTAGGCAACAAGTTTCTCTGCTTGCTCAGCGGCTGGCCTCGGCTCCCGGCACAGACTCGGCTCAGGTTCCTGCTGGACCCCTGAAGGTAAGATGTCATTTTTTGGAGTGTCAATTTGTTTTAATTGTGAATTATTCTTGCATGTATGATGTAAAAGCTCTACTTCTTTGTTTAGGAGGGAGAAACAGCTGATCCTGCCCAGTCAAGACCCAACCCTCCACAATTTGTGCAGGGAATCATCAGTATGTTTTACCATAAATACTAGAATTTGTATTTTTTATGTAAAATTTCTTTAATAATTCCTTCTACTGATTAATGTTTTTTTAATTACAGACGATGCAGAGCAACACCAATACGAAGAGTGGCTTCTTCATACTCAGCAATTACTCCAAATGCAGTTGAAATTTTTGGAAGAACAGATTGGCGTCCACAGAAAGTCGCGTAAAGCACTGTGTGCTAAGCAGCGCACTGCTAAGAAAGCTGGCAGGGAGTTCGCCGAGGCAGATGCAGAGAAACTGAAGCTGGTCACTGAGGAGCAAAGCAAAATACAGAAACAGCTTGACCAGGTTTGTCTGTTTCTGAGAGCCTTTTTGAAACATCTGAGTTGTACAGAGTTTGGAATACAAGTTTTTTTCTGTTTTAGGTGCGAAAGCAACAGAAGGAGCACACCAATCTTATTGCAGAGTACAGAAGCAAACAGCAGCAGCATCAACAAAGCTCAGGTATTCTTCCCCCAGGCCATTCTGCACAGGGTGCACCTTCCCACATATTTCAAAAAATGCCTGGCCAAATGATGATGGGCCAACAGGGAGCACCAGTGATGGGTCAGCACCCTGGCATGATGCCCCAAGGAGGAATGCCTCTAAGAATGCCCCAAGGGCAGCCCTTTATGGGAGGACCTCAGCAACAGCTTTCTTCAGCTCTCGGGGGAAATGCTGCAAGGGCCCCAGGTCCATCAGGTCCTTCAACTGGATTCTTCCCCCAGGGGCCTGGAATGCAAGGGGCAGACCCCAGGCTTCTTCAAGAGAGACAGCTTCAGCATCGAATGCAAATGGCAAAGCTCCAGCAGCAGCAGCAGCAACAACAGCAGGTGATGATGGGTCAGCAACCGATTCCACACCCGAATCAACAGTCTGGACTGATGCCTCAGCCACAGCCTGGCATGATGGGGAATCCACTTATAGCCCAGCAACAAGCAAGCGCCCAACAAGGAATGATAGCCAACCAGGCTAATCAGCAGGGCATGGTGCAGGGCCCACAGGTAATGGTCGCAGGCCAGTCCGTGGCTCTACAACAGCAGAACATGGCAGCAGGTCAGCCTTTTAATCATTCTCAATCCATGATGGTGGCTCAGCCTGGATTGATGGGGAGTCAGGCATCACAGCAGCAGAGGCCCCAGCTGATGATGGGTCAGCAGGGTGTGCTTGGGTCCCCGGGTCACCCGGGGCTCCGAGGACCCCAGCCACAGTTGACACCACAACAACAGAACATCCTTGCCCAGCGCATGCTTGTATCTCAGCAGCAAATGGCACAGATCAGTCAGACTAACCAAGATCAAGGAGGAGCTTCACAGCCCTCGACCCCCCAGATGGGTTCCTCGCCCTCTGCAGGAAGTAATACACCCCAACCACAGGGATCGACGGACAGCCAGAACTCAGGATTCAAAGAGGGGGGGATTCTAAGCCCTGATTCAGGAACTCCTCCTCAGCAGAGTGGACCATCCACCCCCAGTCAGATGCCCCAACAAGGCTCATTAAACGATCTTCATTCTGACATGGAACGACAACAATTACAACAGCAGCAACATCAAAATCAGATGTATATGAACCAGCATCACAATTCAAAACCTCAGTCTGTTCATGAGCAACAAACAGGTTTGACTGTTAACCAGCAGGTTGGAGTTCCTGCTCAACAGCAAAATCCACTTACGCAGAGGCAGGCTTCCCTCGGTGCTGACAAACCTAATTTGGTTATTGTAAAGGAGGAAGGGAAATCAGCTGATTTCCTACCTCAACAACAGCAAACTGTTCAAAATCCCATGCACCAGACACAAGATCCCACCGTGCAGAAACAGATCATGGGTCAGCATCATCCTGGCCAGCCGCAGCCTATGGCCATGGGTCTTAATCCTCAGCAGCAAGCACTCATGGCCCAGCAACAGAAACAGCAGGCCATGATGGGAATGTTGAGAGCTCAGCAGCAAGGTATGATGACACAGAGACCCAGTGGCCCACCTGGACAGATCCGCACCTCTATTAACATCCAGGCTATCATTGCTCAGAACCCTCAGCTCCGCAATCTTCCTCCGAACCAGCAGATACAACACATCCAGGCTATGATTGCACAAAGGCAGCTTCATCAGGGGCAGATGCTGCGAATGCCTGTTGGACAAGGCCAACCGGGTCAGATGAGACCTCAAGCTCCGCAGGTCGGTCAGCAAATGATGGGAATGGAGGGCCCTCAGATGCCATATGGAGGCATGGGAAAACCAGGAGCAGTGGCCAGCCATCAGCAAGTAAACATGTTTAGCCAGCAGCCTGGTGTTGCTCCCCAGATGCAGCAAGGGAAGATGGTTCCTGGCCAGTTACAACCACAAGCAGGGGAAATGATGCAGCAGCATATGATGAGAGGCCGGTTACCAGTCCCACATTCCCCTATGGAGCAGACTCGCATGGTGAGGCCAGCTTCTCCACGTCAACCATTTAGTCAGGCTATGCGTCCTCCCACTCCCAACCAGACCCAACAACAAGCAATAATGGCTGCTGCCTCAGGTCGAGTGCAGGGCTCTCCATCCCACGGATATTCTCCTAGAGGTCCTTTTGGTATGAGCCCTGCCCATCCAGCTTCTCCTTACTCATCCCATGTCTCTTCACCTTCCGTACCTGACTGTAGAGCTGGGAGGGGAAGTCCATACAGCCACGTCAAGGCGTCCCCACTCAGGTCACCCGGAGCCAAGAGTCCATTTGATTGTCTCGGTCTGAAAGTAGAAACTCCAACATCCGGCAGTGATGCGTGTCAGGCTGTTTCAGTTACTCTTAATGGGCCACAGAAGGGCATTAATGTTCAACGAGATGTAAACAAACTTCAAGAGAGTAATGTCGCTCTTGCACAAGAGGAGCTTTGCAAAACAATACAGAACATCAAACAGGAACCAAAAGAGGTTCAGTGTGACGGTGCGTCAGAGGCTAATCCTGGATTCATAAAGCGAGAAACAGGCGAAACGGTTAATTCTGGACACAGCTTTATTAATACTGGAGGCGTGGCCAGAGATCCTGAGACCCAAGGTCCTAGATCTGAGACTGGACAACAGCTGCTACAAAAACTCCTAAAAACCAAGAATATTCAGCTTAATGCCCAGAGGCCTTCTGAAGGCATCCACAACGAGATCAATGGTCACATCAATAATAAATTGGCAATGCTAGAGCAAAAGCTTCAGGGGACGCCACGGAATATGGAGGTATGTTCGACCTTTTTTTCTTTCATCCTTTCGATTATTTTTTTCTCATGGAGAACGCAAAAAACAAACCAACATGTTTTCTTATCCTACATTTTAACAGGATTTACAGTCAATAACAAAAAGGGCCCCAGTGCAAAAGCCAAAGCGCATAAATAAACCAACTGGTGACAAAGGGCCGAACTCACGCAAGAAGAATAAGAAGGAAGAGGTGGGCAAAAGTGCCGAAGCCTTAATAAAACAACTCAAGCAGGTACATTTTTAGATGTATCTTCTTTTTATTCGTTTTTGCTGTGGATGTTTTGGAATGCCATTTTCCTCATCCTGTAAACTAATGAGCTTTTACTATGCAGGGTCTCTCTCTGCTGCCATTGATGGAGCCTTCCATCACTGCCAGCCTGGATCTCTTTGCTCCGTTTGGGAGCAGCCCAGCCAATAGCAAAGGCCAGCTAAAAGGATCATTCGGAAACGCGGTGCTGGACAACATCCCAGACTACTATTCTCAGCTACTTACAAAGGTAACAAAGCTTCACGGTACCTTTGTTTTGTTTTTGAAGAAGTGTTTGAGAAAAAGTTGTTTTGATCCTTGCAGAGTAACCTCAGCAACCCCCCCACACCCCCATCCTCCCTGCCGCCTACTCCACCGCCATCAGTACAGCACAAGCTGTTGAATGGTGTGACTCCTGGGGACGACCTCGCTGAGGGTCAAAAGGAGACAGAAACAGCACTGGGTAATTAGGTTTTATGGTTTTTTAATGTGTAGTTCACCTGGGTTCACATTTTAATGCATAATTATGGCATCAGCAGAGTCCGTTAAGTCGGAGGTGAAGAGCGTGGACATCCTAGCAGCCCTCCCCACCCCACCACATAACCAGAATGAGGATATCAGGTACAATATCACAGCTACCATCTCTACTTTTTGTTTAAACTCATTTTCCTTTTAAAACGCTGTTAAAATCTGTTAAACAGGATGGAGAGTGATGATGAGGATGCTCCTGAGAGCATCATACCAGCATCATCTCCTGAAAGTAACATAGGAGACGCAACCCCGCGCTTCCCTCACCTGCGGGAGCCTAAAGAGGAGGACACAGAAAGAGCGATATCCCCCATCATCCCCCTCATACCTCGCACTGCCATCCCAGGTGGGATCATCTTAACATCGTTGTACAGTCACCACAGTTCATGGTAGAAGTTTTGTATTTTAGCTCATGTTTTTTTTTTTTACAGCATTTCCAGAAAACAAGCCATTTGAAGCACCTGATGGTAAGACGGTATCTACACCTAATCACTGGGATAAGACCAACAGCAACGAGGTGTCGGTTACCTTCACAGTGTCTCCTGCTGCAGCCAAGGTACAGAACAAGTACTGAGATAGTTTTTAGCCTCAGTTCTTTTCCTGCTTTGACTACTTAAATGTATTTTTTGTCTTTTTTTGCCAGAAAATTAATCATGTAATGATGGCAATGGCCCAGCTGCTTAGCATCAGGATGCCAGGTTCTTATGAGGTCACGTTCCCTCCTCAAAGCGCTGACCTGCCTGTAGGGAACGGACCTGGAAAAGGGCCGGGTCAGTCAGGTGGGCTGTTGGAGATTGTTTAAAATTCATTTATAGAATCATTTTATTTAATCTGGGCGATCAAATTGGGAATCTGTGAAGAGAATTGACCCATTTCAATAAGTCATGTGACTTGACTCAGATTTTCTGTTGAAAAACATTTTTGTCCTTAAACATTTATTGATTAAACCTTTTATTGTTTGTTTCTCCATCCATAAGTTTAGACTAATGATAAGGTGGTTGTGTTTCTAGGACCATTGTGCTCAAAGGATGGTGCCTCACCCAGTCAGGACGAGTGGCTGAGGCAGTTTGATGTTTCCCTACCTGGCTGCACGCTAAAGAAGCAGGTGGACATTCTGGCACTTATTAAACAGGTTTGTCATGACTGGCTTCTCTTCATCGTCTCTTCTGTATCTATATCACATTTGTGTTTTTCTTTTCTTTCACCAGGAATTCCAAGACAACGATGATAAACCAGTGCAGCACTGTTACACAACCAACGTTAGTGACTTGGATGTCCGACACCTTCCTGTTATACCAGTGGACGAGTCTCCACCCCCGTCACCGTTGCCTCCTCAGTTTACCCCGTCTTTACCGGTCATAGCTAGTGAGGCTGAATCTTCCAAAAAGTCAGCATCTCCAACACTCCCTCCCTTCGGTCCCATCACGGTTCAGCCCAAGACTGAGCCTGAGCAGGATGTGGAGTCCTCCACGGATGCTGCTCAGCCAGCTGGAGTCCAAGACATGGAAGGTTCTGCTGCAGAGGGAATTGCTGAACCGGCATCTGTACATTCCAGACCCACTGCCCCTCCAGAATATCACCCAAGTCCCACCATCAAGGAGGAGGCCTGTGTGACTGAGCCAGCTCCACCTAAAGATTCCCCCAGCACCACAGGGTCTTCCCCTAAAGCCATGAAGCAGCGCAGGCCCCTCTCCCCCGACGAGGAGTTGGTACACCCCAAAGCAAAGAAATGGAAGGGGGTTCGCTGGAAGCGTCTTCAGATTGTCATCACAATACGAAAGGGTGGGTCAAAGAAGGAGAGCAGCCGGGAAGTGTCAGAGCTGATGGACAGCCTGCGCATCACCCTTCGACCTGAGAAGCTGCCCCGGGATAAACGCAAATGCTGCTTCTGCCACGATGAAGGTGACGGGGCCACAGATGGACCCGCACGTTTGCTTAACATTGACGTGGACTTGTGGGTGCACCTCAATTGTGCCCTGTGGTCCACTGAAGTGTATGAGACACAAGGGGGCGCTCTGATCAATGTGGAGGTAGCCCTGCGTCGTGGATTGCGGACTCTTTGTGCGTACTGCCAAAAGACCGGTGCCACCAACAGCTGCAACAGGCTGCGCTGCCCGAACGTGTACCACTTTGCCTGTGCCATCAGGGCACGCTGCATGTTCTTTAAAGATAAGACCATGCTTTGCACCCAGCACAAGCTGAAGGGCCCCAGCGACGACGAACTCAGCACGTTTGCTGTTTTGCGACGTGTTTACATCGAACGTGACGAGGTGAAGCAGATTGCCAGCATCTTGCAGAGAGGGGACCGCATCCACCTGTTCCGGGTTGGTGGTCTCATCTTTCACGCCATCGGTCAGTTGCTCCCCTCCCAAATGTTCAACTTCCACTCACCCACCGCCATCTTCCCCGTTGGTTATGAGGCTACACGCATCTACTGGAGCACACGTGTGCCCAACAAGCGATGCCGCTACCGCTGTCGCATCAGCGAAGACGATGGCTGTCCGTTGTTTGAGGTGCGTGTTCTAGAGCACGGCATGGAGGATTTGCAGTACCGGAACACAACCCCGGACGGTAAGTTCTTCTACTCTTCTAGTTTTCTTCTGTTCTAGTTGTAGTGTATGGTCCGGTGACTAAATACAGCTTTTATCTGTAGGGATCTGGAGCCGCATTGTGCAGCAGGTGGCTAAACTTAGAGAGGACTCATCCATGTTGAAGCTGTTCACAGAGCACCTGAAGGGAGAGGAGATGTACGGCCTCACTATTCACGCTGTGATGCGGATCACTGAATCGGTAAGAACTTCTTATTTCATCATTGTTCATCTGAGGTGGATGGAAGGCGCCCAAAAACATAGCAGAAAAGCTCCTGTTAGACTTTTAGTAATAATAAACTTTTTAATGATTTCAGTTGCCCGGAGTGGAGAACTGCCCAAACTACCAGTTCCGATACGGCCGGCACCCTCTGATGGAGCTTCCTCTCATGATAAATCCAACGGGCTCTGCTCGGTCCGAGCCCAAGGTTCCAACGCAGTGCAAGAGGTAAAATGGTATTTTGGCAATAATAATAATCATTGTTATTGACTTTAATAACCAAAAGTTGTTTCTTTTGTGTGTGTGTTTCAAGGCCTCACACTCTAAACAGCACCAGCGTGTCCAAGGCATACCAGAGTACCTTTACTGGAGAGCTCAACACACCATACAGCAAACAGTTTGTCCACTCCAAGTCCTCCCAGTATCGGCGTCTGAAGACCGAGTGGAAGAACAATGTTTACCTCGCACGATCTCGCATTCAGGGCTTGGGACTGTACGCCGCAAAGGACCTGGAGAAGCATACCATGGTCATTGAGTACATTGGTACCGTCATCCGCAACGAGGTGGCCAATCGGAGGGAGAAGATCTACGAGTCACAGGTACTCCATAATACCAAAAGGAAAACACTTCCTTGGGTTGAAATAAGGAACAACAAACTTCTTAGGGTCTGAGAATGGTTTAGGACCAAAGTGACAGGTTGGTTTTTCCCTTGTAGAACCGTGGGATCTACATGTTCCGCATCAACAACGAACAAGTGATCGATGCCACTCTAACAGGTGGCCCAGCTCGGTTAGTGTCCATTAGTTAATGTCACTCTGGTAATTCATCGTTTAGTCAAAAAAAAGTTGTTTTTCTTACCAACGTCCTTATTTGTTCTCTCTAGATATGTCAACCATTCCTGCGCCCCAAACTGTGTTGCTGAAGTTGTAACATTTGACAAAGAAGATAAGATCATCATTATTTCCAGCCGCAGGATCCCCAAGGGAGAGGAGGTGCATAGCGAGAGGACACATTACTTTACTTACTCTATTCAATATCTAAATGTCACCATTTGTGTTTCCTGCCTTCAGCTGACGTATGACTACCAGTTTGACTTTGAAGATGATCAGCACAAGATTCCCTGCCATTGTGGAGCGTGGAATTGCCGGAAGTGGATGAACTAAGCAGGAAAAAGACGGACGGAGAGTTGGCCTTCGCTGGTACCAGAACACTCCCGCGCCAAAGCCTTTGAATCCTACATCGCCAGTGCATAAGCTGTTCTGAAAGACACGGAGGAAGGCTGTCCTCTGCTATAAGTGTTGACATCTGTAGCCAAAGGTCTGAAGAGCATTAATCATTTAAAAAAACAACTGATCACCTTACATCAACAGCCGTTTGATGGTGGCGTTTAACCTTTCAGCTGAAACCCCCCCCCCCCCCGGTGTCGTCCTGACTAGTCCGGTTGCGGTGGCTGGAAAATGATCCTCAACATCTACCAAATGATTCAGACCCTCTATCAGTGGAGCTCACCAGAGCTTCAACAAAAGCCATGTTAAATACTAAGAGTGAACTAAGGATGCATTTTCATGTTTTTAGTCGGACCTATTTCCTATCCCTCCTCCCTCACCCCCCAGAAGAAAGGCACTTTCCCTCTTCATGACAATACCATTACTATTGGCCAGCTAGACAATCTCAGCGTTCTACGAAAGGACTGCAAACGATCGGTGGAAAAACAAAGACGTGAGAAAATATAAAAATGCTCATCCTCTGGGGCTCCAGTGGCACCCGCTGTCGTTGGAGTCCTAAGGTGGGCTAGCTTGACCCAGTCTACCTCACTGATTGAGCGGAAAGTGACTGCTTTGTTGTACAAAACTAAAACAAACAAAAAAAAAACCTGCTACTGTGGACTTACTGTTGGGGGGAGGGTGGGGGAGTTGGGAGGGGAGGATGCTTTTACGGGCTTAGCCCTCGGACAAGCAGGGAATCTAAAGCAGCAGGTTTGCTCTATCTACTCTATGCTGATGTTGATTTACAATAAGGAGCCAACTTAATTATTATACAAGACTTATTTATACAGAGCAAATATATGGCCGTTTTGATATTACCATGAAGATCACAATCGGACTCTTAAAGGGCATTGTCTATGCCACCAAATCATCCTTTTGGGTTTCCTTTTCTCTTTTTTAGGATTTCTGCACCTCAGAATCATGCTAGGAGCTGTGTGAAAGCACAATAACGTTCATGTTTTAAGTTGCTCAGCTGTGTAAACGAAAATCCCTAACCAAGCACCCTTTAGATGACCACTTCCTATTGAAGTTTGAATTGTTCTAAAGGAGCCCTCGTGGATGCATGACTACTGTTACATTTAATGCTTTTAATTTTCCTAATAAGTCACACCTCAACCTTAAACTCTGAATCATGCCTCTTCCTCTCTGTGTTATTTAATGGACTGTTTTTAAAACTTTTACTGTAGTAAGTCTTCCTCTGCCTGAGTACAGCCTGCAGTGTTTCTACTCACCCCTGTAATGTATTTTATTATTATTATTATTATTATTTTTCCTCCCCAGTGCCGGTACTGTCTAATTGAGGCTGAACTGGTGGCAGGGAAAGACTTATGGAAACAAAGGGCATTTGTTTATTTGTGTAAAGTGAACGAGAAAAAAAACGTCTTTAAAGGGAGCTTTAGTGAAACTCCTCCTTCCCATATTACTTTGTTCCCTCCTTCTCCCAAACCTCAGACCTCATGTGATTTTAAAAATGCAAAGTTGTACAAACTGTAAATAAAGTGTATGCATTAATGCATTAGGGGACAACAACTCTTTATCCAGCCCCCTTTAGTAATCAATAAAGTCAAAAATGCATTAAAAACGGTAAAAAAATCAACCACTGGATATTGATTTAACAAAGACAAAGCTGTACATAACTATAAATATATGTAAAATTGCAAACTAATATCTTTATGTATATGAACCAGAGTGTTTTGCATTTACCTGTTTTTTCTATTAGTGTTTTTTGCTATGAGAAATGTTTGCTGAAATAGATTTGAGGAAAATATCTAATCTTCTCCAATCAGCCGAGGCGAGTACTGGTCTGTATGAATTTATGGGGAGAGTCGTTTTAACCAGACATAAAAATCACTTCTTGCATAAAGCAGTACGATGGTGCATAGCATTTGTATTTATGTCATTTGTGTTTATTTTTATTTATGCTACTGCTTGTTGATTACCAAAACCTGTCCCTTAATCGGTCAAAAATCTGGGTCGTTGTAGCCTTGAATGGAAAATAGACTGTTTGTGGTTTGCTTTTTTATTTTTATTGTTTTTTAAATCTCCTTCTCATAAAAGTGAATGTGTTGGTAAACCTTGTGAAATGGTTACTTGGCCTAATATACGTTCTAATACTCAAAGTTAATCCCATACGTAAACTGGTAATGAATTGCACTCTCCTTGTATAACAGAGAACTTCTCTAAAAGTGGTAGATATTGATCAAGTATCTGAAACCGTGATGAATATATAAATATATATATTTTTTGGTATGTTTCTATTTCAAGGGAAGACCGTAACGAGACATTATGATGCTCACTGGACTTTAGCGTAAATAATTTTTAACTTCTCTGAATCCTAATTTAAGTTCTCTGCGTATCTTATAATTTAAATAAGACTTGAGCTCAAATTGAAGGTTTTTTTTACCTCACATTTTAAAAAATTAAAAAAAGATGAGGTTGCATCTGTACAGCAGAGATACTTTTAGGGAATATGATAAATAAATATGATCATTTTTATTGTATGTGGCATGTTTTGTATGGATATTCTTTGGAATTGTACATATTTTTTTCAAGAAGCCAGAGGTTGCATCTCTTTATATACTGGGTTCCCACCCCCTTTCCCCTTCATCTTATTTCTTTGTCTGCTTTTTGTTTCTTGGAAAATAAAATGCATTTTAAATATGTGCCCATTTTCTCTTGTCAGCTCATCACTGTGTTCATGTGTAGGCCACACGACTGATTATGATGATTCAGTGCTGTGGATTTGATGAAGATGCCCAAAAACTGTTTAAAGCCCCAAGAATTATTTTTTTCTTTTGTTTTTGGATAACTCAAAACACTTGTTTAGCATTAAATGAAGTTACCTTTGTACCAAAATACAGTCTCTGGCCCAAAAAGAGGTCCGCTTTTGGCTTTGTTTACGGCACGCATTTGCTGTGGCATTGTTTCAGTAAGCTTCTGCAATGTCACAGCACTTATTTCCATCCAGTGTTGCATTAATTCTTGACCAGGATCTTGCATTGATGAAGTCTGACTGCAGCACAAAGCCTCCAGCACATCCTGTAGACTATCAGTGGGGTTAAGGTCTGGACTCTGATCTGAAAGCTCCCTGAACCACTCTTTCACTATCCGAGCCCAATGAATCCTGGCATTGTCATCTTGGAATATGCCTGTGCCATCAGGGAAGATGGAATAACCTGGTCATTCAGAATATTCAGGTAGTCAGCTGACCTCATTCTTGGAGCACATCCTGTTGCTGAACCTAGACCTGACCAACCCAAGCCCAGATCAGAGTACTGCCCCCACAGGCTTGTACAGTAGGCACGATGGGTGCATCACTTCTTCTGCCTCTCTTCTTACCTGGATGCACCCATCACTCTGGAACAGGGTCCATCTGGACTCATCAGACCACGCCACCTTCTTCCATTGCTCCAGAATCCAATCCTTATGCTCCCTAGCAAATTGAGGCCTTTTTTTTTAAATTTAGTTCACTGATGAGTGGGTTTCTTACAGCTACACAACTGTTCAGTCCCAATGCCACAAGTTCCCTTCGCATTGTGCATGTGGAAATGTTCTTACGTTCACTAGTAAACAGTCCTTGTTTTGATTTGATTTCACCAAACGTTTGAGTGATCGCCGATCACAATCATTCAGGATTTTTTTCCGGCCACATTTCTTCCTCAAAGACGAGGGGTCCCCACTATCCTTCCAGTTTTTAATGATGCTTTGGTCAGTTCTGAATCCAATTTTGGTCATTCTGCAATCTCAGATGTTTTTCTCTGCTTGATGATGCCAATGATCTGACCCTTCTCATCTTTTCCACGACCACCAGATGTGTCTTTCCACATGGTTGTTTAAGAAATGAGAACCAACTCATTGCACCAATTGGGGTTAAATAACCTGTTGCCAGCTGAAAGATCTCGTACTATTTGCTAAATTAAATCCAGGTGGCTTTTTGGCCAGGGCTTCTGCAGAACTGTCTTCAGTTTTTGGTTGTCCTGAAATGACGACATCCCTGGCAGAGCTCGGCTCTCATCGCTGAGCTTGCCTGAAGAAATGGAAGTATCTGAGTCAGAACCACCCACAGAGCTGTGCTTAGCTCTCTTAACATGTTTGGAATCACGCACGTAAAAGACCAACGCTGCTCCGAAGAAGGAACATCGAGATTTCTGTCATAAACTCACTTATAAACATTTGTAACTCATTAGGTGGCAACTTCACTATTCAATTTAATTGTATTTATAAAGCGCCAAATCGCGACAAGTCGTCTCAAGGCACTTCACATAATAAACATTCCAATCCAGGTCAGTTCATTAAGCCAGTCAGAAAAAATGTTTCCTAAATGAGGAACCCAGAAAATTGCCTCCAACATGCCTCCATCTAAAAAGGCTAGGTTATCCAGAGTTATCTCTGTAGTTATGCTGCTATAGGCTTAGACTGCTGGAGGACACACTGACCCACTTTTCACGCTCTACTGCTTTCTTCTAATATCTGCTCTTTAACTGTATTATTTTCTGCAATTTCAGCTGTTAACTTTATTTTTTGTCTAAGTGTTTTTCTCCCCAGAAGAAGCTACAATGATGTTCTGCTGAGCTGTGGTGGCCTCATGGAGGGGGCCATCGTCTTGCACACTGCTACTAACCACTTAATCATTCTCCCTCTCCTGATAACATTTTACCTTCTTTGACGTTGGATGTGCTACTACTAGTTTACCCGTTTAATTATAGATCCACTAGGATAAATACAATAAAGTTTATCTCTCACCAAATAGAATATTTACTAAGAAATCACAATGTAACCATAGACCTATTGCTTGGGGTCTGCGTGTGTGTGCGCTCTGTCTTCTCCATCCCCAGTGAGTCGTGGTGGATGGCTGCTTATACTGAGCCAGGATCCTCTGGAGGTTTCTTCTTGTTAAAGGGGAGTTTTCCTCTCCACTGTCGCTAAATGCTTGCTTAGTATGAGGATTGCTGTGCCACTAAAAGAAGTGGATATTAAAAATGAACACAAAGTTGAACCACACATAAGAAAAAATGAGGAATTTATTGTTTATCGCTTATATACACATTTCGGAAAAGATTTGCACAATATTGAAATCCTGAAGAAAATTCTAAGATTCTGATGATGGCAACAAACCAAACAGAAAAGTTACATTTTTGGAAAATTTTGGTTGAACTGACATCCATCTCCCATCCTTTTGATCCGCTACACTTCTAACCAGATTACCAGTAGCAGCAACAGTTCTGGTTTCCACAGCCTATGACCTGAACAGATACGGAGAACAAGAAAAGAACTTTAGGACGTGGAATAAAACTCATCTTAATGTTTTACCCAGGGTCTGAAAGATGCATGCAAAAATGGAAACATGACACATGGATTCTGAATCACGTGATGGCTCGTCTAACATTAATTATGCCCTTTAGGACAGAACAGTGCAGAGTCTAGGTGACGAAGATCAGTGTAATACTTTCATAGCCTAGAGCTGCAGAAAAAGGAAAACATGCAGTTTCATTTTTCCGTCTCTAACTTCCCACAACATCCTTTACATCTCTACATTTTCAATGTGCGTGAACCGTCAGCTGTTCCTGGAAGAAAAAAGCCAGTGGCAGTATTTAATGTTTACATGATGCTATTTTGTTTTCCAGTGCTAATGAGAAGGAGGAGGTGGTGGTGTCACCCCAGGACACACGCATGTTCATATGGGGTCAGTAGTACCAGCAAACTGACATGAGAAGGGAACAAAAATGAAATCTGCAGATAAAATCAGACATGAAAGTACCTTTCAACCAAATGTCACGACGACATGTCGCATACAAGAGGAGACAAGTGTACATTTTATATATGACAAATAAATCATATGTACCCACGATCAGTAGTGTCTAAAGTCAGAAAGTCAAATTAAACAGGAAAGCCATTATGATCTCTTTACATAAAAACACAAACAATACATTAAAAAACAACAAAAATAAAAAACATCACCGCCTGTCACCGATGGGGTCATGGTTACATTCAAACGATCTCTGAAGAACCGCAATAACCCTTTTGTCTGAGAACCAGCGAAGACTCGGGCTGAATCACAAAGCTTTCCGTTTCAAGTCTCTGGTTTGTCGCATCTCGTCTCACAGTGTTCATCAATACGAAGCATAAACTATCAACAAATAAATAACAGAAAAGGAAATATCCCAAACGGTTTCCCTGCCACGTCTCACGTTAGGGCTGCACAACATATCAGAACCTCACATCGCAAAGGGCTGCAAAAAAAATCACAAACAACGCTTGGATGGAACGTTGGCTTCATGTGCAAAATCAGATGAAAGGGGCCTAAATGTAAAAGCACATGGGAGTGTAGGGGAAGAATTAACAGAGTGAGTAAAATGCAGTTTTATCACAACAGATATTCAAAAGAATCTGTTTTTTAAATATGCTCAGCCCTAATTTACTAACAAACACCAGGACTGGATCACATTCATTAAACCAAACCTGCAGGTCTCTCTCTCTCTTCAGCCGAGTCCAACTCGTTTCTGCTTTATGTTCAAGTCACGGAGTTAAAAGCTGGATGTTCATGCTTCATCACCAAATAACTGAACTTTTTTTCACACACACACACACACACACACACACACACACACACACACACACACACACACACACACACACACACACACACACACACACACACTCTGAGATGTTGCATGGATTACAGACAGCGAAGCTTAAAACTTAAAAGCCACAACCCACTTTGACTCCTCTAGAAAAAAACAAGTTTGTCACAGAAATAAAGAGGTAATAATAATAATAATAATAATAATAATAATAATAATAATAATAATAATAAGTTCTGTCCCTGTACAATATTAGTACTTCCTGCCCTGGGAAAGGAGAAAAACGTAGTGTTATGGTATTAACAGTGGTTGCAGTATTGTGGCTTGTGGAGAGGGGCGTGGAGGGGGAAGGGGGTGCAACACAGGGAGGCAAAGAGAGAGAGAGAGAGAAATCAGATTTTCAGTAGTTTTGGCTAAAAAGGTGAGGTAGGCCTTGTCACAACTTGGAGTGTGGCTTTAAAACTGGCAGGGTTTCACTTGCAGTCTGTCTTTAGTGTTTGTTTCCTATGATGCGGTCGGGTTGTGCATCTTATGTTGCCGCCCTGTCCGCTCACATCTTCACATCCTCCTCCACGCCGAGCTGGGACAGAGTCTTCTTGATGCGCAGAGCCGTCAGTCTGGCCGCTCCGCTGGCGTACCAACACTCCCTCATGATCTTCCCCATCACACGCAGCGACTGCACAGCAAAGGACACGCAGATTACAGAACTTAATCTAGACTCCGTAGTCTGTGTCTGTAGTCAGTGCAGATAAACTGTTGCCCTACACCGTGATCCTCAGAATATCAGAAAGATCAAACATTTATGGGAAAAGGTGTTTGAAGAGAGGCAAAGATGTGGTTTTGAGCGGGTTCTATGAATGTTTACATGTTCGGCTGATTAGCCTTGGATTTACAAGTTGATGCTTAGCTAGATTGGACCAATTCCAAGAACGACAAGACTGTTACTAAAACGTGGATTGATACCAACTGTCTGAGCTGCAGATGAGGGTAAAGGAAGCAATCAATAGAATATACTGATTAGTAACGCGTTTCATCTAAATTCACCTCATAGCTCTGCCACCAGTTCGGCACGTTGGGCCTCAGTTTCTGGTCACAAACCACCTTCCTCATGTCTTCTATGGAGGGGTCAGAGGGCACGAGGTCATAGTAGGGCAGCTGGTACTCCTCGTGAATACCTGCAGGGCAAAAAACAAAAAAGCAGAAATAAGCCTCTGATTGCATGTTTCTGTTCTTCCAAACGTCAAATGCTTTTTCTGTTTTACCTCCCGTGTTGCAGCGGCGTGCAATCTCCCAGTACACCAGGCCCAGCGCGTAAATGTCTGCACACTTAAAGGAGTCAAAATGTTTCATGTTGATGGTTTCATCCAGGACTTCTGGAGCCATATACCTGGATGAGGGCAAAGGAGACACATCATTAATGGGAGAATCAGGGTTTTCTAGGAGTCAGCCGAGATACCTTTCAATGACATTTGAATAAATAACACAGAGGTCTCAATGGATTTAAGAAGCATACGACTGAGATAAGGACATTTTAGAATTCACAGCAGATGGACAAGAATGGATTCAAATGTATATCTTAGGGTGATGATCTCAATTGTTTTTGATGTTTACAAGTAATTTGTTGAGAGAATAACGAAGAATGTAGCCAGCTGAGCCTTTAAAGACTCGGGGAAAGACCGGCTCGCTCTTCCACATGCTAATGCGTAAGGAAACCTTCACCTCTTAGTGCCCACACGCTGGTTTGGTGCTATATCGATTGTGTCTGTGATGGACTCGTGGCGGACTGCCAGTCCGAGGTCGGCGATAGCACACGTCCCATTCTTCTTAACCAGGATATTTTTAGACTTGAGGTCTCGATGTGCAATTCCTGGCTTACCTGTAAGGATTAAAAGTTGAATTTATTTGCATAAAATAAAGTCCCGTCTGTGTCCACTAGTTCACTCTTTCTTCCTCTGGGTTAAGAAGACGGTCGAGCTGACCCTGAGTGCCGAGGATCTCCATGTGCAGGTGTGCCAGTCCGCTTGCAGCTGAAAGTGCAAGTTTGATCATCCCCTCGATGGTGACAGAGTAGCGGTTCAGGTAATCAAAAAGAGAGCCATGCTCATGATAGTCCGACACCAGCCACAGCTGCGTCCATGTGCCATTATCTACAGAACAAAATAGCAAAATATCACTTCATTGGTGGGTCACTTTCCACACATCGCCAAGACACTTTAACATGATTTAGAATTTTTTTTATGTAGGTGCAAATAAATGTAACCACATAGGTTTTCTCACCTTTATTGTCCGCTGCAATGAATCCTAGAATGTTTTCGTGCCGAAGCATGATTGTCTGGTAGATTTCAGCCTCTCGGAACCAGGAGCGCTCCTCTCTGGATGAGAAAATCTTCACTGCTACATCTCCTCCTCTCCACTTCCCTCTCCACACCTCCCCGAAACGACCCTTTCCTATGATCTCCTGGAGCACGATGGTCCTGGCTACTGTCCGCTGAACAAACAGAGGCAGTCCTGCAGAGGGCAGTAGACACACAAAAAATATCTTGTAAATATATTATAATAACAGAAATATGAGGGCTATATAAGAGGTCACAGCTAAAACATGTGTAGCACACACACACACGTGAGCATCACACACTGACCAGAGCCTGATCCAGAAGTGGACATGTCAAAAATAAGGTCCTGGAGGGTCTTGTCCTTGGCCAGATAGAGGTGGTCACAGGAAGGGTCCTCCACCTCCAGCCTCTGTCTGTGGCTGTAGGCTCTCTGGTGGTGGTGAAAAAAGAACACGCCAACCACCAGCAACACACACAGCAGGAACACGGGTCCTGCAATGATCGCCATCAGCTCCACCGGCCCCCACATGCTTCCTGTTTCCGACCCTACCCCACCACTATTTGTTGGTACTGAGAGAAAAAGTGAAACAGAAAATAAGATGTGTAGTTTTGTTCTTCTAAAATCGACAGAATGAACAGCGAGGATGTCTGAGCGTCCCACCTTGAACTTGCAGGTCAATACTGTTGCAGTAATCTTCATAGCAGCAGTGGGTGTTGGAGAAGCCTTCAGCACTGAGACAGTAGATGGGGTGTCCAGCAGGAACCAGGTCCACCTGGTTGATGCAGACGCGCACGCGCTCCTCCTTCAGACCAACCATGAAGGTTGAGGCCATGCAGGCTCCGTCCGTCTCACACTCATAGCCCGTCTTCTCGCAGGTTGTGCAGTTGCAACGTAAAGCTGGAGGAAAAGAATAATGACGTTAATACATGAACACGTTTGCTTTTCCAGCAGGGGGCGAGCTCAGCCCACAGTTTAAACCCAAACTCCGAAGCACACCCCGTTCAACTGGAGGCATTTATAATGTGTGGATCAGCAGGAGCAGCCAGACATCCCTGGCAGCCCTGAAACCAGATCCCTCGCTGCAGAAGAACCCAAACACGCCGAGTGGAGACAGACCCGCCCAGAGGGACACAAAGTGAAACTCAACAAGGGGAGAGGGCTCATGCCAAACCCCCCAATGCAGCAATGTGCTCCATTCCCTTCCTCCAGCTTTCTCACTGACAGAGAGCTGCTTCTGTTTGAGCCATTAGGTCAGTATAAGAGCAACACACTCCTGTCATAAACCTACAGCGGTCCATCTGCACAAAGCTACAAGATCTAAACCAGAGCGAGTGCTGGTCGAGCAACGCTGAAAGCAAGAAAAACTGCAAACTGATTAGATTTGGAGTGAAATGTGATTTTGAGTCACGGCACACATGCTTCTCATTTAGAGTAAGGTCAAGACAAAGCGCTTCCTCTGCTGCCACAGCACTCACAACTAGGGCCGCACAATTTATCGTTAAAAAATCGAGATCTTGATTCATGTTTTTATGCAATCTCTTTTGGTATGACTACGATTACATAAAAAAGAGAGAAAAGAAGATGGCCATTGTACCGCATTTCAAACCGGGACATAATATGCATGAAAACAAGCACTCCCTCTCTCCAACAAAAACGGCGGAACCTTATACCGCGTGACGCAGAACGCAGATGGCGGGAAATAAACAAGAGCACGTGAGACAAGCTGACTGGAGGAGAAAAGCCGAAAATGCTAGCAGCAGAGGAAAACCTCGCCAACGGTGGTGCGAATGACAACCAAACAGTGACGTTGATTCCCAAAAAAGGTTCTCATTCCGCGATTTGGAAGTTTTTTTGGCTTCAAAACAGATGACGAAAATCAAAAAGATGCAACTTGCAAGCAGTGCTTTGCAGTAGTAGCAGCACCACAGGGTAACACTACGAACTTGTACAACCACCTTAAACGTCACCATCAAGTGCAGTACGATGAAGCTGTAAAGGGCAAGAAAACATCGGGAGAAAATCCTTTCCCGTCAACCACCCAGACATCCATAACGGAGACCTTATGCAGTGCTTCTCTATACCCGTCAAACTCCCACAGGCACAAAGAAATTACGGAGGCTATCACTTATCACCTGGCTAAAGATATGGCTCCTATCAACATCGTGCAAAACGAGGGATTTAGGAAAATGATCAACACTCTTGACAAACGTTATGCAGTACCGTCCCGCAAATATTTTTCAAACGTGGCACTGCCTGCTCTATACACGCAGTGCCGAGCAACGGTGGAGACGGAGTTACAAGCGGTTCAGCATTTTGCAGCAACGACCGCCAAACTATGGAGCCATACATGAGCCTGACCATCCACTATGTTACCAGTGACTTCACCATGAAAAGTAGGTGCTTACAGACTGCATATTTCCCTGAGGACCACACCGGCGAGAACCTAGCACATGGATTAAAGGAGGGTCTTATCTCGGGAGTTTGGGGGAGGAAAAAACGGTGTGCATAAGGACAGACAGTGGAGCCAACATCGTGAAAGCAGCATCCCTCAACAACTGGACAAGGCTTCAGTGTTTTGGCCACAGGCTACACCTTGCTGTAGGTAAGCTCTTGTATGGAAGTTGATCATTTTATGTTGTTTAAAAAACATGTTATTGATGGTGTGTTTTATAAACAACAATAGCAGCAGTATGAATAATATAATATTACAAAATAGTCAATAATATTACAGCTGTTAAACAATAAGTCAATAACATCAGTGATACTAAATAGTTAATAATAAAATAGTTATTACAGCTGTATGTTATAAACAACAATAATAATTATCCAATAACAATAGTGATACAATAAATATAATAATTAAATAGTTAATGAAAATAACTGAGAGTGCAAAGAAAGGTCCAAGAGTGGATCATGCTGTAGATCTTTGCAAAAAGCTGGTGGGCCGCTTCAGTTACAGTTGGAGGTGGAAGAAGGAACTTGCTGAGGCCCAAAAGGAGCTCAAGCTACCTGAACACAAGCTTAAAGTTGAGTGTCCAACCAGATGGGGATCCAGACCAGCTATGGTCCAGAGGGTACTGGAACAGCTACCTGCCATCTCGCATGTTCTCCCCTCTGACCGGAAGGCTAGACACCTGGTTCCCACATGGCAGGATGTTGAAGTTCTTGAGGCACTCAACAACACACTCAGCCCACTGACAGACTCCACAGATGCCCTGTCAGGAGAGCAATATGTGAGCATTTCCTCAGTGAAGCCGGTTCTCCGCCTCTTTAAAACATCAGTGGTGGCCGTGCAGGATGATGACTTGGATTTCACAAGATCAGTTAAATCAAAAATCCTGGACTACCTGGAGGAAAAGTATAGTGACCCAAAAACACAGGAGCTGCTAGACGTTGCCACATCTCTGGATCCAAGATTCAAGATGGCTACATCTATGAGGACAGAAAAACCACCATCAAGGCGAGACTGACACATGAGATGACTGGCATGACTTCAGTTGTGGTAATTATCTTTAAATCCAGTCGCATCACACTAATCATGATAGTCACACACTTTAAATGGTTAGAAAATATGATATTGTACTTGTTGAAATGATTTTATTGTGGTGTGAAATAGAACAGTAAGATGACCTTTGTTAATTATCTCACAACCAGCTGTTTAGACGGGTTATGGGATGGTGGGAGAAGTTTTATCTTCATACTGGGAGGAAAACATGCACACAGGCCAGGAAACAAAACCTGGGCCACTTTAGATTTAATCTCTGTAGATTAAAAATAAAGACCAAAGGAGGAATTTCAATCCCTTTTTTTAAATGACAAGAAAACGATTGAGCAACGGTTGGATGTCTGAGGAAAAACAGGATTTTAAGCCCGGCATGCATGACTTCAATAATCTTGTTTTATGCAGAATCTGCTTTAACCCAATGAACTTCTGTAACAAGTTCTCAGTCAACTTTAACACAATTTTAAAAATTCTATTACAAATGACTCAAAATGACATTTTAGTAACCACAAACTCGCAGTACAGGGGTGGCTTCAACTTAACTGACCGCCCGAGACGTCGCGCAGATGCATCTGTGCTTATTCACTGATAGTAACTGGAAATGTGGAACATTTAGGAGGGTTACAGTAACATTTCTCATCTGTTTAGTGTTGGTGTGTGCATGAGAAGCATTACGCTCCCCAGGAGACGAGTGGGGAGAGTGGCAGGAACTGGCGCCTGCATGCGTCCAGATTCACTGAAGTTTGCATGCAGATGGAATTTCCTGCAGATTACTGAGGTGAGTCAGGCTGGTGCTGATAAAGACAAAAAACACACAAGCTCAGACTAATCTGCAACACTAACGGAGGAAACAGAGCATGAAAAACAGCTTTATTAGAAACAGATTCTCCGCTAACAGCTCGACTGTGATTGAGTTGCTCCGACAAACAAACCACACCACTTTGTGACAATAATTTATCAGCAGAGATCTGAGGGGAACAGCGTGATCCAAAACCCAACAGGCCTGTGCATCCATCATGAAGAGACAGATGGTCCACAGACATGAAGACAGAAGCTCGTACAGAAAAACCAAACAACACACACACATACATAAACGGTTTGTGGTCTACCAGTTTGTGGGAAATCCTTTCGTTTTACATAAAAACTGCTTGTGTCTAAACCACACATCTCCAAAGAAACCAGAAAAAAAAAACATCACCAATTTTAGCCCATCCAGGACTCTGATCATGGTTATTTATTACCAAACACCCAGCTGGAGATGAACACCGTGAGAACGTTATTCGGGAATCTGGGACACAGCTAAAACCGTTATGAAGCCACCAGCACTCCCACAGACGTCAGATTGTTTGGGAACTTCTCACAAGTTCTCCACAGCTTCATCCGAAGGAGTAATGCCAGAAAAGGTTGCCGTGGGGTACTTGTGCTTTGTGTGAACTCTGCTCTCGTAGCCACATAACTGGTGGTCTTTACACTGTTCCTTTGTGTGGAGATTAAGGCGGCATGTGGAGGGATTGGGCTGGCCCTGCAGGAACAAAGCGAAGAGCACTTGTGCAAGGGGGAGCACGCAGGGGGGCATACTGGGGTTACCAGTAACAACCCCGTATTTGGGGGCTGCTTTAAGCCAGACAGGATGGGGGGGCTGGTACCCATTTGAGCAGGATAATATAGAGGAGGAGGAGGACTCGCAGCACCCCCTCCTCCCAGCTGCCATTGAGTTCTGCCCGAGTGACCAGCTGCGACCGTCATTAAAACCCAGTCTAGACTTTGACTTACACGAGAGAGCAGGAAAAAGGAACCATAGAGGAAAACGGGAAGATGGGAACACAAGAGGTGTTCCTTTGAGCTGCTAATGAGAGGAGTTCCCATCATTCCGTTCATGTCGGGACAGGAAACGGCAGACACAGCGAGGAAGGGATTAATAAAGCATTGCTGCTATAAACTATTATCACCTTTGCCTGTTGTTATACCCCCCACCAGTTTACACATCAACCCCAATGGCAGCTTTCCACTGGTTTTCAGGCCTGTTCATGCAGAAAAACCTGGTCCAAACAAAACCCATTTCCCTCAAAACATCAGAAGCGTCTGGTGTAAAAACGCCTGCAGTGTGTTGCAGCAGGGCACGTAAACATGGTGGGTTGGGGGGATTCTGATACAGTGTGCTCTTGTGTTGGAGAGAGCACCATTACCAAAATGCACTGGCTGAAATTAGATCCATATGGATACCAGACTGAGAGTTGATCAAGACAGGCAGACGCCACCAGACAGAGAGTGTGTAACACACACACACACACAGCCAAACATGCGCACGCACACACACCACAACTGTGTCCTAATCAATGGTAGGGGAAGGAGGAAAGTCATTACCTTTGTCTGCATCTCAGGGTCAGATTACTGA